ATTTAAAAGTATTAATATAGTGATAATTAAATACTGCAGGATGTAACGAGTGTTACAGAAACATGGGCTGGCTACCTAACTTGTGACGTCATCAGTGGGTATTGCCTCACAAATAATATCGGCGATACAAAGCCTCCGCCCTCTTATTGGTCTACATTATTCAGTTAGATGGAAATTTCTGTCTTGTATAAAACAGAAATTGTTGTTCTTTTGTACAACAACAAGGTTATTGAGCAAAAGGACGTATTTCTTATTTTGCATTTTATTCATATAAGCGTTGGCATTCCCAGCAACAGCCAATCACAGGAAGGTATTTGTTGGAAACTGCCTTCAACAAACTTGATTCCTAATAAACTCTAACAATAAATTCGTTTAATAAACGAGAATTTAGGGTCAAGCTACAGATGAACATTATAGGATAACGGTTTTTTAGGTTGCAGCTTCGTTAGACAGAATCTCTGGTCTTAATTTTAAAAATAAAGAACTAAAAAGCGTATTTTATTGCTAACTTTTCGAGAAATAAATTCGAGTCCCATATTTGCGAACATTTATGCATTGATTTTTTGGCTTATGTTCTAATCATAATCCCTTTTGCAATCTCAACACCATCTGGCTCGTATCTTGTAACTATCTTCGTTACTTAGCCTCAAAACCTTACATTTGTCTTACATATCCTCAACAATAGATAAAAAAAAGTAATTGCAGAATTCTAGTTACCTAATACCAGCATGGTATAAAACCTTATTATAAGCTACCAGACGTATAGATCAGTGTTTAAAGTAATAATAATACATTATTATTAATGTAATAATATTATTAAAATAATAATAATACAGCTGATGCCATCTGTCGGCAGATAAGAACACTATCAACTGGCTGGTCAATAGTAGCCATAAGATACAGCTTACGCCATCTGTTGACAACAAATTACACTTATAACAAATTAGCCCACAAAATACAACTAACGCCATCTGTTTTTTTTCCAACGCACTATAAATAGCCAAACAGCAACCCATAAGGCGGGTTGTTGTGCTCGGGTAGGAGGTTCCAAGCTCCGCCCACTAGATATTATGGGGTGCATAATAAATGGCATATCATTGGTAGAAACTCTTTGTTGACATTCACACAACAGCCAATCACAGGAAGGGATCAGCTAAAGGCTCCATCCACTTAATAAATCATCTTTATTCAGCACACCATCCTTGCTTATGACATTCTGCTTCAACTTTAATCTACCTAAAAAGTGAAATGTTAAGTATTTAAAAATATTAATATAGTGATAATTAAATATTGCAGGATAAAACAATTGTTATATAAAAATGGGCTGGCTACCTAGCTTGTGGCGTTATTATTGGGGGTAGTCTTGACACAAATAATGATACTCTGCTCTGCCCTCTTATTCGAGTAAATTATTCAGTTTGATGGAGATTTCTGTCAGGTGCAAAACAGAAATTGTTGTTCTTTTTCACAACAACCTTGTTGTTGTGCACAAGGACCTATTTCTTAGTTAAAATTTTATTCATAAAAGAGTGTTGGTATTCCCCGCAACAGCCAATCACAGGAAGGTATTTCTGGAAGCTCGGCCTCCTTATGGACTCAGCACATCGCTCTAGCTCATGGCTCTCTGTTTCATCTCTTGTATATACAAACTATGACTTTTTTCGATTACTGTTATAATTAATAATAGGAGATATAAAAGTTTTTACACAAGATGGCTAAATTCTGCCATTAAATGGACTTTGTCTGGTATACATACAAACATACACCAATTTATTACCATTCATCCATTATTAATTTCAAATGTAATGTATACTGTCTAGTTTTTTCCTCTCGCCATTACTTGGTGCAATATTTGAAAGTTGTCTATTTATTTATCGATCTATCTATTATCTTGTATTTATATTTACAAGTTTCTGTGCTTGGAAGAAAACTCTGCATTGAATTGGGACTAATTTATTAAATAATATTATTTAGTAATAATTAATATTTACAATTATTATTAATTACAATTATTTATAGCTTAGTTACTTTCATGTAACTCGCAATCGCACATTCTTAACTTTAATAGCCCAAATTAGCACATCTTGCTTTTAAATTAGCCCAAAAAGTAGCAAGTAGCGAAATTAAAAATTTGGGAGCGCAGGGCTCTCAAAAGTAGCCCAATTCGCTATTTGTAGCCCTATCTGGCAAGACTGGCCGCTGGTGTCCTTGCTCACCGGAACGACGCCTCAACGAGGCGTCGGCGTCCCCGGCGCCCAGGATATAATTACGTAGGTAAACTTTCCATCCCAAATCCTTATCCTGATCCCTTCCAAGTGCTATATAGTCGTAATGGCTTGGCGCTTTCCCTTGATAATTCCTTTCTTCCTTTCCTCCCTCCTGGAAGGGCCCCTCACAGGGGCCTGCCAGCCAAGCGGACAGCATGCTGGGCACGTGATCCTGTGTTCGATCCCGGGCGCCGGCGAGAAACGATGGGCAGAATTTCTTTCACCCTGATGCCCCTGTTACCTCGCAGTAAATAGGTACCTGGGAGTTAGTCAGCTGTCACGGGCTGCTTCCTGGGGGTGGAGGCCTGGTCGAGGACCGGGCCGCGGGGACACTAAAGCCCCGAAATCATCTCAAGATAACCTCCCCCTTTTAGTTCGTAGTGTTCCCAAGGAAGAATATTCTTTGTCTTTATGGTTATTTTATATGTGATCAACGTTGCATGATTTATGAAACGACAAGCGAGGCCTAGTGGTACTGATTGCCATCATTTTAGCTGCAGGTAAACCCATGTATAAAACAGTTTAGGAATTAGCCAGGCTAGCTGATGAATATTAGACACAGAATCCATCCAAAAGGTGGACATGATACTTGGGTATATTTTTTAAATAAAATATAATTTGTTTTTACAGTGATCCAGTTCTCTGCACCAATGTAAAGTTTCGCGAGAGCGGGACCAAAGAGCCGAAGCTCAACCCCCGCCAGCACAACCAGGCGAGTACTGATGCCGCCGGAAGTGCAGTGTTATGACAAGGAGAGGCGGTGCTGGTCTGAGTAGGGCGCTGGTATTAATAACAGCGTTTGTTATTGTTTTAGATTCAGCTACTTAGAACAAAAGTTCCAAAGTAGCACGGGCTATGGTGAGCCCGTAGTGGACTTGCCTGGCACAGGAGCGGGGCTGTAACTGTGATTAGTCTCTCTTTTAAACTGATTTGCAGACTTACAGCTTTTAATTACATTTAGGTCATAATCTGGGATCCCTTCATTTGCATTTCTGCTTAATTTGGTTGTCTCACTGTAGGAATATCAAAAGTATATTAGTATAGTTTGACAAGTGTTGCCTATGGGTTCTATTACAACCCTCTATATAGGAAGCGCTTAATGTCAGGATTGGCATTGCAATTCAGTGTTTTATAGATATAGAGAGCGGATATTTAACATGCTCAAAGATTTTTGTAAGAGAACAGTGTTTGATATTGTTCTAATGACTAATTTATGTGGAGTTATTATAGGTGTCGGAGGTTTAAGGGTAGTGGATCATCAGGCACAGATACCATAGGTGAGAGATGGATAAACGAGTGAATAATATAGTTACTAAGGCAGGGCGAGGCACATAGTAACTGATTTTGGAGAGAATGCCTACTGTCTCAGAAACTTTTTAAGTTATATTTTGTATATGGCAATGGAAGTTCAGTTTGTTGTCAATATGAACATCAAGAAATTTCCCACTTACTCTGTTCATAATGTGGGCATGGTTAATTCTTAGGGTCATTTGATTATTGGACTTGTTACCAAAAAATATGTAAAACGTTTCACCAATGTTAAGGGTGAGTTTGTTAGCAGTCAGCCACAAGTGAACTTTATTAGTTTAGTATTCACTGCATCATTTAGAATAAGTAGGTTAGCATGGGAGAAAATGAAGGGTGTATCATCACACTTGAAGAGAGTGAAGGGTGGATCATCAGCAAATAGAATTGACTTGAAGAAAGTGAAGAGTGGATCATCAACAAATTGAATTGACTTGAAGTGTTAAATAACATTTGGAAGATCATTAACGTAAATGAGAAAGAGGAGTGGACCGAGTATATTGCCCTGTGGAACGCTATTGTTAATTGACAGTGTGGGAGAAATAGCATCGTTAATGCTAAGGGCATTAATTAGTAAACCGAGAATTATAAAAAAATTAGTACCTGATACAGAGTGAAATTTACACATTATTATGTCATCTTGTTATCCAGGAAGAGCCACATATGTATAGGTCATCCAATATAAGATCAACAATATCGGGAAACAGTAAATTTAAGAGGTTAAATTGCGTATAATAGGCTCTTAATATAGTTGACTATTGTTCTTCAGTTATATTATATTCTGATAGTTTTCAATGTCACTATTACTATTAAATTTTGCTTAATAGAGCAAGTGTGGTTTCTGGTCCACCCCACCATCTCTCTAACATGTTATCTCTTGCCATATCCGGTCCTCAGTTGTAAGTACCACCAACTTCTTTATGTCTGTCTGTGGGGGTCAAAGACTTTATTGTGGGCTTTCGGTTACAAGAATGAAGAATGTATATCAACACGCTGTTTAATATTAAGTTTATGCCGAATCAGCCTTATATATATATGCGGTGGAAATATAAATACAGTACATTATATAATTATAGTTTTACTGATCTTCTTTGTCTAGTTATATTGGGATTGATTGGATAAATTTGCATAATTTTCATACAATGTATCATAGTGACGAGAATATAAAATATTTATATTTGGAACTTGTGATATAGAGACATGTCTTGAAGCATTTCAAATTTAGCGGGGGTTTATGACCTCGTAATAATAACTAGCTAGCAACTCTTCGCCGCCTCTGCCTCTCAATTTCAAGTTATTTTACCAAATGATGAGCATTGACCCATAGCTTTATGATATAGGGATGATACATGAGTCAGTTGTTGAGGAGGTTGATAGTAGTGAGGTTAGGGCGGGGAGATTATAGGGGTTACTGGAGGAGTAGCGAGGGTGGTGCTATCAGCCACAGGAAGCACGGGTTTCCTCTGCTGTCTGGCCTGTGCTCTCGTCTGCTGCTGCTGCTGTTACGTCTCATAGACCACGCTGGGTGTCCTGCCCACCTACTGCCTCACTTATGGCCACAGAGAAGCCCAAGGTTTTGGTTCTGGGAGGTAATTATTGGTGTTTGTGAGTGGGGTGAGGTGTGTGAGGAGGCTGGGTGGTGAGGGCCTTACACCGCGCTCCTCTAGCATCTCTTGTATGGTAACTCTCGTGTTCACTAAGGTCAAAGTCACCTGTTATGTGTCGGTATGTATAGATTTGTCAAGTGTGTAGTGAGGAGGAGTCTCATGCTAGTGATACATGAGGCGAGTGAGTGAGTGTGTGAGGAGTTAAGGTGAGATGTACTCAAACATGAGTATGACCATTAATGTTTCATCTTTAACGTCTTGTATATTACCAACACGTAATACAGTTTGTGCTAAACCAACCATCTTACCTTAGTCTTAACTCCTGTAGTCATTTTGTTGATCGGTAGTTTTTTTTTGCACGAAAGTAATTTACCAGAATTTACCTAAGAGGCACCATCTCTCTAGTGGCCTTGATGGGGACAATAAGCTTGCGTGTTTGTTAGAAGTTACGTCTTCGGGTAGGCAATTCCATGTGTTTATAGGCCTATGGGTGAACAGGTACGGTATTTCCTGTCCTACATTGTGGTTTGTTGAGCTTGAAGCTGTTGCCCCGTGTATGTGTAATTCATAATTCATTTGACCTCTTAAAGAAGTGGTCTGGATTTATATCCTCCAAAATCTTGATGAAATCGGCTCTTGTTATGTCTGCTTTGTAGTGTTGTTAGTCCTGTGGGTCTCGGTTGTTATTGGTATGAGAATTGTCTATAGTTCTAGGATGGTTTTTGTCGCTCTGGGAATTCTATAGGATACATATTTTGTGTGTGATCTCGATAGATATAAATCTTTAGTAGCGCACAGCCAGCTTGCAACTAAACTCATGCATTTGATTCCCAAGTAGTATGAAACATTCGTGTGTGTTTTCTTACACCCGATGACTTTGTTCACCTAGCAGTAAATAGGCGCCCAAGACCTAAGCAACTATTGCGGGTTGTATCCTGGTGATCAATCATTGCCCTACAGGGACTTCTAATGAGTGTTAATAGGCTCCCTTTCTCTGAAAATGGGAAACCAGGAAATCACATTGTGCATAGCTTGTTCAAAAGTTACAAAATACAGTACAGCATTCTTTATCCAGTTTTTACAGTCAACATTCATGCTATGGGTAAAACAACTTTGGTGCAAAATGCTCATTTATTATACAGAAACTGTACATTTGCTTCACTGTAGATGGTTTGCATTGATTTAAAACCTAACCTATGATATACACTGAACCATGCTATAGGTACATATAACAGCGTCATTACAGTACAGTTTATAAAATAAAACAAATTTAAATAAAAAAAACGTATGACAAAATTACCAGTGTTTGAAGTGCAGATAGGTTAGGGTAAGGTCACAGAATTCTGAACACTTTATTATTATTGATGTTCACAGTAGATAAAAAATAGTTCCATTAGGTTGCAAACTTATGGCATGAATTGAAAGATGCATATATACAATTTTTACTAAAAGTGGTGCTGTACGTCCAGAGTCTTGTTGCAAATAAGTGTCTGAGACCCTGGTACTGTTCTTAGCGAGATGTGTCACTTACTGTATTTGTATGGAAATTTCACCATTACAGTATTGCCATGTATACTTTGGTCTACCTGTATATTATGCTTTTTGTTTCTGTACTGTTGAGCAACGTGATTTTTGGATTTTTTCCTGAATGGGAGACTAGAAACTAGCATCTGGGGAAATCAGAGAGAGGGTATGGTCTAATTGTACAAAAATATTTTGGCAAAGCGGGATTTCTAATTCTTAAAACTATATATATCGTTAGGGTAGGTCCGGATTAGGTTAGGCTTGATTGGGTTAGGTTAGATAGGTTCACATTACTCAACATTATTCATTGTTTATTTATAATTCATTATTCATGTTTATTCATTATTCATAACTCGACATTATTCATTGGTGAACCTTGGGTGTGAAGCTACAGGCTCCAGGCATCCCAATATTTGACAGCTATTATTTCAAGAACTACTGTGGATTAAAGTTTTTTGTGCATGAATGCCTGTTTCAGGTGCTTTCTGAGACTTGGAGGCTGGACACCCATGTCGCTACAGTACCTCGCTTCTTAGAAACCACTGGCCATTAAGGTCTGAGATTTTATAAGCAAGATAGCATGGTGTATGTAGTATGTGTTGATAATATTTTTCAATTGATTTGGAGATTCTGTACAGTATCTGTAAAGATACTGTACTGGCTTAGTACAGTATTTGTCTGGAAACCAGAAACATTGGATACCTTTTAATTACACATAATTCATCTTTTAGGTGTCCATCTTGGTTCATTCAACAATCCATTTGGCTGTTTATCCAACTGTTTATCCACTTGAAAACAATGCAATGACATTAAATAAAATATAACTCCTAATTTGACAATAAGGAAATCAGATTTTCATAAGAACCATGCAATTAACCCTATTTTAATAACAATTGTATTTATACAGGATGTGGCTTTATTGGGCGACATATTGTGGCAGAGCTTGTGGTTAAAGATGTAACCTCGACATTATGTGTAGTAGACAAGGTACCTCCTCAGATTGCCTGGCTTAATGAACAGCAAGCTAAAATTTTCAATGATGATGTTGTGACATTCAGAAGTGCTAATTTAATTAATCCAGGTAAGTTATAAATACCGTCTCATGTTTTTAAGGGGGCATTAGGTTCCAATTTGCCCCAAAAATGCAATAAATGAAAACTCGTTCGATTTCAATCAAACTTTTTTGACAAGTTCTATATGAAAAGTGTTTCATCTGGTCCAAGTTTCAGCATCGTAGCATAAATAGGAAGGGAGAAAAAAAATATTGAAGTAGTTGTGAAAATTATGCAAAAATGGTCAAAATCGATTATCAATCAAAAGTGTCAACTGAAATCATAACTACGACTCTTTGCTATCACAATAGCATATATTAAACAAATATTATAATTAGTTTAATTGGAAAAAAAATTTAAGAAAAAAAAAGTTTTTTTTTTTTTTAATATTTTTTTTTTTTTTTTTGGGCGATTTGCATCAAACTTACACACCTGACTGTACGTAAGCCTATCTGTAAGGATGCCAATTTTGGAGAAAATTGGTTGATGTCAACCTCAGCCACAGATTTTAGAACCTTAGACTTTATTCATTTCTGTTTTTTTTTCAATTGACACAAACGTTTACAAAACTGATTCCTTTTTTATTCAATTTACATGAAACTTACACAGTATATGTGGAGGGCATGTCTCTACATTGTGGGGCTTTCATTTTTCTCTAAGTTCATTTATTGATTTTATAATAGCAGTAAACATGCCATATTTGCAAAAAAATTTTGGGGAACTTTGAACATTTGTATTAGGAAAACTCAAGATGTTTTGGAAATTCTAAAGCCCCAAATCTTTTATTATATGCTAATGTGTCAGAAAAGTGTCACAGAATAATTATATCTGAAACGTGTGTTCTGAAGTGTGGACTTGAAAATGTGTAAAAAACGTTGAAAAAAAAAAAAAAAAACTCCCTTTCTATATACGCTGCAGTACTGAAACTTGAGACAATTTAAGGACTTTTCATATACAACTAGAAAATTAATATTGGTTGACACTGAACAACTTTCACTATAATACTCAGACGCCCCCTTAAAGGCTATTAGGCAAAAATTCCAGTTAACCAAATTTGTGATTGAAAAATATCATGTACCATTACCACTCGCATGTATAAGCATCATTAATTTTGAATTGGTGACTATAATATCTCTCAGGACAAAGATTTCTTTATGCAAATTCATGTTTCCCTTGCAGCATCATGTGCAGCAGCATTTGGAGAAGAGGAATGGGACTGGGTTATAAATGCTGCTGGAGAAACAAAAACTGGACAGGTAAGACTGCTATTGTCTTGCACTTCATTAATCATAGTATCATCATGAGAGATCACTTCATTAGGATATGCAGGCTGACACTTAAGGTACATCTTTGAACAAAGTCTGGGTGAAATACAGGGAAAGCTGTGGAACACATAGTTTGGGTTGCATAAACAGTTGTGAAGCATAAATAAGAAATAATACACAAGGCACTTGCCAAAGAAGCTAACATCACTTGGCCGGTAATAGTAGAATCGAGCAGTCCCTGTTGCTCACAGACCCCCCCCATCCCTTCCCATTTGACCCGAGCTGCCACCTAGTGGCAGCTGAGCAAGTGAAAGCTTAGATTGTTTATCAACAGTCAACTACTGTTTGCCTAGTTTTACTCATTGTTTCTTTCATTAAGAACAGTGGTTTGTTTTACCTATACAGTACTGTATAGTACTTTAAGAGATATACTTTGATTAATAAGCATAATACCATGTATGGTTATTAAAGATCTCTACACACTCCCCTCGTCTCTTTTTGAGGAATCCAGAGTCTGGTTCTGACTTCTGTTTTGCTGCTCAAGTCCAGAGACCTGTTAGGTATGGGAGGCTCTGTGGCACCAGTGTCTAAGCTCTAGGGCGCTGCTTAGGGGCTGCTAAAGAAATTGAATCCTGGAAATAGATGGGCAAAGCCCCCCTGTGCTTGGGGTGGGAGACCTGCAAGATGCTGCTTGCATTATTTACCTAAATTTACCTGAAGGCCACCATACCTCAAGTGGCCTCTACAAGGACAGGAAGCCAGCAGCTTGTCAAAAGGTCTTCCCATTTGTCCTGAAGATTTATTTTTTTTTTTTTTAAATTCAGTAGTGTTTTGGCATTTATAGGTTCAGTGGGTGTGTGGTTTCAAGGGTTTATAACCCTATGGGTGGAAAACCAGAACCCAGTACAAACCCAGTACAATTCCATTTTTTTGTCATCTAATCACAGTCACAGAATGGTTTTCCTAGTGGGTGGGTTACTTACAAATTCCATGAACCATTTTTTCTGCAAAGCATTCATTTTTACTTATTTTCCCATTACCATTTAATGTTTAAGATATGCTTTGGTACTGAGTGTGACTGCCACTCATCAGGAATATGAACAATAGCACTGTGAACCACTGTGAACAATAGCACCCTTGGCAAAGGTTTACCACAACTTGGAGGATAAACTGTTAATAACAATGACAATAAAATTACAAATGGAAGCATGGTAATGTTTCATTAGACTATTGTGTTATGTAGTATATTTATTTGTCAGCAATGTGATGTTGGTTAATCTTTATTCAACTTGCAGTACTTCAATACACTATAGGTACTGTATTTTAAATTTAGGAGGCATAAATCTGATTCATGTAGCACATAAGGAAATGTTTTGTAAAATTTTGCTCGAGAAACTGCATATTCAAGTGTTTCTGCAGGTAGAGGCTGTGTATCAGGAGGGAATTGTTCGTCTCTCGACCAACTGTGCCAATGAGGCAGCAAAGAGGAAAGTGAAGGTTTATCTGGAAGTTTCTGCTGGAAGCATGTTTTCTGATGAAAAGGTAAGAACTTACATTTAGAGAATAGAAAGCTTCCCACATTCAAATAGTGTCATATGCCGTTAGGAATTTATAAAATAATGGACTACCTGCTAGGAGGTGCTTCAAGAAAATGATCCCTTATCATTTGTGTAAGACAGAAATCTATGTAGCTGGCTAGTCAGTTTTGTCCATCTTATCTGTTTATCTTTATTCTGGATGTTTATTCCCTTAAGAAAATTCATAATTAAAATTTATTATTACAATATTGATCAGTGGAGTTTAGTACACATTATTTTGTCAATGCAGTAATGCAATCATAAAATAATATGAATACTATTGAAAATAGCTAACAAGTTTAAAAACCATTAAACAAAAAATATGAATCGATCTTGGTTACCTGAAAACCTCGAGAGAAACAAAAATATAGAAATCGGATATAAAGCAGATATGGAAAAGTTCTTTGAGTATTTCAAACCCACTATTTCACCCACTACACCATCACCACCACCTTCACAATATCTCATCGCACAGCAGAGTGCCACCACTGCAGAATGCCACCCAACCCACACAGTATGTCCATAGCAGGATGCCACCACCACCTCTCCACAGTATGTCCATGGCAGGATGCCACCAGCCTTAACTTGTACTCATTATACGTATGTATTATTTGTATCATTAGCTGCCAACAGAGGAGTCCAAGGACATATTTCTTGATCACCTTCATACAGACAATCTACATACACAGTTCAGTAGCTAGCTTAATGCATTATATTAGACCCTAAGAACAAACATGCAAATAAACATTTTTATCTGTTAATGTCCGTGGCAAGTTTTTGCCGGAGGTAAGTGTAGATTCATTTTTGTACCAAAATATGTATACAAAACGGCTAAGCTCAGAACATTCATTTGTGCTTTATTTATATTGGTTTTACTTTGTCTTGTAGGTAGCACACAAAGAGAGTGATGACTGTAATCCTTGGACTGTGACATCAAAATGCAAGCTTCAGGTAGAAAAGGAAATCAAGAGTATTCCGGACCTCAATTGGATTATTTTACGACCTGCAATAGTGTATGGAGTGTCCGACAGGTTGGGCCTAAGTAAGTGAAGTCATTTTTGTTAACATTTAATAAATACTGAGTTTGTATTAGAAATACAGATATGCAACATTACTCTTGAGTAAATGCCATAATTATTAATTTTAATTCTGCCATCAAGGTCAACATGTAGTATGTAGACATATTAAATGATTTGTATGTCAAAATATTGAAGTTGTAGATAATGAGTTGACCGATTAATACAAAAGGAGAGTTTTGGTAGTGATCTTGGAGCACAGTGGTGTGGGAGGATTGTCAAGAATAGTTAAGTGTAAGGAGCCTTGTGGTGGTACAAATACTGGTGGAATGTTGGGCGAGTAGTTGTTGGAATGTTGTGCGAGTAGTTGTTGGAATGTTGTGTGAGTAGTTGTTGGAGTAAGGAATCCAGAAGAGTTTTGGAAGGAATGTTATTGGTTGAAAGAAAGCCATAACTGGGAAGAACAAGGCAGGATGAGGTGTTGGTAGAGGGTTGCATGTATTCCAACCCTAGTATTGGGATGTCAAAAATCAGGTGTAATGTAAGTGTGACAAATTAAGTATTAATGGATGTAGAGCAATAGAGATACTGTAATTAACTTTTAAAAAGATTTGGAAGTATAAAAGTTTGATTAAAAAATTGAATAGTGTTTGCTACAGTTGTATAGTCTTAGTGACTAAATGAATGAATGGGGATGGACTGAAAGTTTATTGAAGTGAATTTGAAGATATGAAAGAAGAAAGCTGAGATATTGGGCAGATGAGAGTAAGCATGGTATTCATGAGAAGTGGCAGCATTGATTTGCAGGGAATGAAGATTGACATTTTGTTGTATAGATTGTATTACAGTATGAATGTCAATATAGTTTTAATTCATTTGTGTCTTGTGATGCTTTCCCATCCTTTGTGTGCCTCCAAACACCATGAAATTTGGCAATATGGGAAACTAGCATTAAATTATTCTAATCCTGAGCCTCTATTTATTTATCTTTGAAATGGATAGCTAAAGTTCTTTGCTCAGCATATCACTTGCATTTACTTTGGCTTAGATTTATGAGAAACTTTGTTATGTGCTGTACCCTTTTCGCTTAAAAATGTGACACGAATATAGCTACTAAATTTATATTGCTTTCTGTCTTATTGTCTGATCAAACTACCTCGGCTAAGATAATCTTTTATTGCAGCTCCACGTTTGGTATTTGGAGCTGTTTACCGCCATCTTGGTGAGACTATGAAAATGCTGTGGGATGAAAACCTTAAAACCAATACTGTTCATGTAAAGGATGTTGCAAGGTAATATATATATATACAGTACTGTATAAATATAGAATAGACATGTTAAAGAAATGTATAGGGTCTTTCAGTATTACGTATGTTTTACACTGGTGCTTTAGAGAGTTGGGTAGGTAGCTTGGACTTCTGTGCTTCTTCTCCCAACACGAGGAGACCTTATGAATCCCATCCAGTAGCTTTCCCTGTTTTACAGTAAGAGGATTGATTTTTCTGTTCCCAGTAGAGGTTGAAGGCTCCTCTGCAGGGCTCTGCCTGCCTCCCTGCCTCCTCGACCCCAATTCACCTCTAGTGAGGGAGTGTTCTGGGAGTTTGATTGTTAGACAAATGTTTATTTATTTTTAAGATATGAGAGTACAATATTTTGCAAACATTTATCTATAAATACACAAAAATTTGACAGGTTACCAAGCAAAATTATAGATTTTTAACAGTGGTTATCTGCTTATCCACATAACTGGTGTTCTCTTTGGGGTATAATTGTGTGCATGCAGACCCTATAATGCAGGTGTTAAGTATTGTCAACAATCTTCTGTATCCTGCTTTTATTGGTGTCTGAGATGCACTTGTGATGTTAGGAGCATAGAGCAAAAAAATAAAATTGGAAAAGTATAGTGCAAAGTCAGTAAATTTTAAGATTGATTAAATTTTGAGATGGCTCGGTTATATTGATTGAATAGATGGTAGTTGTATTTGAGTGAATTTGAGGGTAGGTGTGCAAGGTCAAAGTGCTTTATTGCACTTTGTGAAGAGGTGAGGGAACACACCTCAGCCCTTCAGTGAGGGCAGTATAGTGGTCAGTGCCTTCAACTGCTAGCTTTGCAAGCAAGAACGATCCTGGTTTGAACTCTAGACAAAGCAGGATGATCGGACAGTGATGTTAAAACCTATTCACCCTGCAGTGATTCGGGTACCTGGAGGTAAAATCATCAATGCTTAGTGCTCTGGGAAAAGCGTTGAACTAACATAGACGCAGTACTCTCCTCTTAACTAAGTGATACTTTGCTCTTTAGACATTAGGCAAGTGGCTGGCTGTTTTTATTTTTAATATCATTAACTATATAATGTATAAATATATATAGTTAACATTATAATGTTATCATTAATAAATATCTTTCTCTCACTATCTCCAAGTTGATGCCTCACCATGTCATGGGATTCCTCTTATAATGATATCTTGTTATACCTGCTTGATATACTGTACATAAATTGTTATTGTTGTAATAAAATTTTGAGTTTTCTTTAAACTTTCAATTATTTTTAATGTAAATTTTGTAAGCTGCAAATCTCTGTATTTTGTATAATCACAGCCACTTTAGGTGTACTAAAAATATTGTTATTGTCTTTATTTCTGTGCAGGGCCATATTGTGGCTGTGTCAAAATGGAAAAACTGGCCATATATATAATGTTGTGGATGATGCCAACACTAAACAAGGGGACATAAGCAACATTGTGTCAGACATCTTCAATATTAATCATGATTATTATGGAAATACTTTGTCATCAATTGCTAAGGTAAGGTAATAATGATGCATCATATTTGCATGATTATAGATAGGCCACACATTGTATTGGCCCTGTCCCCTCCTTCTCCCTCCTTTTTTTTTCTTCTTCCTGGGTACTCATGGAAGTGAAAAATATTTAACGAGTTCTACCACAACTCTTCATTACTCATCTCCACCTAAATGGTAACCATTACCACCCCACCCTAAGTCACCACCACTAGGACCATCATTTCTGCTCTCCATGCAAAGTTATCTAGTTTAGACACATTATTTCTGCATTTTCTTTATTTTTAATGTCATATATTAAATATTTTTGTTTGCTTATACAGTACTGTACATGAAAAGCACCTTTCTGAGCACGAGTCAATCAGTTGCCTACTGTGAGTGGGTGCATTTTTCCAAGGTTTAACCTTCCAATTAAGGACATGTTCAGGTCGAGCAAGGCTGCCCGATGGGCCAAGGTATCTTGAGTATTCGTGAGAAATCTGTCATGTCGGGTATCCAGGATTCCTTTTTATTCAAACAATGCCAAGGAGGCTTGTTGATTGGTTTCTATGTGATGAAATAAATAAAATTTTTAGCTCAAGACATTTTGATGTCTTTTCAGTGAGATATGCCTAGCATAGGGACTAGGTTACCCCCTCTTGATTGGCTGGATTGAAACATATCCAGTTTCAGTAATGATAATGCTAAAAATGAAAATGTATTTCAGACCGACACTACTGGACTTGTCAATGAAATAAATGAGAAGCATCTCATTCCTTGGGCAGCCCTGTGCTCAGCTGGAGGTCTGGACAACACACCATTGACTCCTTATATTGACCAGCATTCTGTGCACCATAACCATCTACACCTTGATGGGTCCAAACTTCGAGCAGAAGGCTTCACATATTCTGTACCAAAACCTAGTCGGGAAAATCTACTAGAGGTTAGTCTAACTTTGCATACTTTTATTGTTAATTGTAATACCCTGAAGGGTTGGCATACTTTGAAACTGATTGAAGACATGGAGAAATGGCAAGTTATTTGAAATTATTCCAATTTATTTTGTACTGTGTAGAGTTGTTAAGAGATAATAAAAGGCAGGAAAATAGAATTGTAATATTATACAGTAGTAAAAAAATGTGAACATATTACAGAAAAAAGTGTAAATGAATTAAGAAAAAACCATCCTCTTGAAATGACATACTTATAGCAACTATTTGTCGAATGTACAAGAATGAACTGTTGTTGTGAACAATGTTCTCATTCTGTATTATTAATTTTGTTGAAGGCACACAGAATGGCCTAAAACCTAACTTAAACATTTTTTGACCTAGGATATCACATGTATATACTATAGCAGTCCCCTTGGTGTTCCCAAGTGATTTGGCCTGGATTTGTATCCTGGCCGGCAAGGATTGACTAGGCATCAATTCTTTCCTGTACGACTCTGTTCACCCAGCGGTAAATGGGTACCTAGTTGTTAAACAATTTGGCAGGTCGTAATTCAGGGAAAATTATGATTAATCTTCCACAAGGCGACTTGTGGAAGATAACCCCCAAGCTCCAAGGGCGTTACTTACAGGGCGCTCAGGGAAGGTAACCCTAAGCACATGCAGCCTAAGTACCTTGGAATAATACTCCCGGCTCGCATGCCATCGTAAGAGCAGTATTGGACACAATGCACAGCACAACAGGGAGAACTGGAGCTGGAGCCACAAGACCATGCCCAAACACACCAGCCGAAGAACTGGTGGGTGGATCGCCAGCATGGGGGGGTCTGGGGATACCCCTTTCCCCCTCCCAGGGAGTGGGGAGCTGCGCAGACATGCGGCGCAGCTCGTGTGACTTCATGCTCTTTTGCTCGTTTTCATTTGGGGAGTTCTGGCCACTAGTTTGTCTATTTTAGACGTTTTAACCAGAATAGGGGTTTGCTTTGAGGCGCTTACCTTTCTGGGTGCCTGTCCCTGTCGATGGCAGATATAGAATGCTCCAAATCCTATGTGCATTTCTATAGGCCATTGCTCCTCGTTCCTCTCTGAGGGGGCCAGGTTCTGGCTGTGGTCCCCGGTAGGCCTAGAACTCCGCTCACACTGACTGATGCCAAAGTTTAGGAATATACATATCGGCCTGGATAGCTCCGAGGAGCCTCCGGGACTCGTCCAGAAAATGGGGTTTCATTACGTTCAATGCTGGTTCTTTTATGATCATGCAACACCAGCATCACTCGCCTGTATACTATATTAGGGTCAGCCATATGATAGCTTCATGCAGTCCTCTAGTTATATATCTTCATTTCAATAGCTACTTTCCTTCCTTGAATTATTCTACTGTTAACTATGTTAGTTAAAACTTGTCTAGGGTAAACAAAAAAGTTAATGTTTCCCAATTTTTCTTATTATCCCAATTTGCCTCACAAAAACACAATCATTACCACTGATGCTTTACCTCTGATAATTTCTGAGAATCCAAAATATTGCAAGACTAGTAATCTTGATAAGGTTTGAAGCTCTTTGGATAGTAGGTGGAGAACGGAAAGTATATGCCGACCAGTATTGCCTGACTTACCTCTCTATTCCAGGTGTTGAAGGATTTTGTGACCATGAAGATCTTTCCAGCAAGTGCTCTACCGTCACAATAACTGAGTGGTAAAACCCACCCAGTTATATGTAGTGATAAGTGATTTGGCTGCAATAACAAACATAACAAATGTTTAGTGAGAGAGAGAGATTACAGTGTACATAAAGTAGTATGAAGAAAATGTGAGAGAACTGGATAAATTTTTATACAGTCATAAAGATCATTAGTTAGAGAACTAGGCAGACTAGATAGCTGTGTGCTTGTAACACATTTTAAGTACTCGAACTAAAACAGATTTGATGATATATTTTAACCATATGTGGAATATCATTACAGTAATAGTAAATTATAAGGAGATATTGGGTTGATGTAGAGTAGTTACCATTCATTATAATAACTTTAGAAAAAAGTAAACAAAATGTCTGCCTTCAAATTAGTTTGGCAACTTTAAAAGCGGTAAGACAATTTTAAGTGTCATAATGACATACAAACACAATACCAGAAGCACTTTTTTGCTGCTTTTTTATTGTTATATTCTTCTTAGTTTGATCCTTATTGTAGTATATTGCTATTAAAGCCCTCTCCTTTAAAAAGACGAATGAGAAGCAAATGACCTTAAATAATTTTGGGAGTACTCTACATATAGTCAGTTTTTAAGAAGAAAATAATTACAGTTTCTAATTTCATTACATTTTCCTCTTTGATTATAATTGTAGAATTTACATTTTGATGTAGTTTATAAAGTGTACAGTACAAGATATTAATTTCTTCAATAAATGGCATATGTTTGTTACACTTGAATACAGTTTGTGATATGATATTGTATATGATGTGGGAAACAGACTATAGCCTCGTTGTTGTTTCAGTCTAATATTCATAGCCAAGTAATTTGCAGTAATCTGATGTTAGTCATTTATCCAAGAAAATTGCTTGTGCATCAATGGAAAACAAAATTTAAGTTAATTTTTTTCATTTCAAACTGATCATTTTGCTCTTATAATTTACCTCCCATTCAAGAAATTTGCACAATTTGAACTCTTGATTAAAATTATTGCTTTGCTAAGCATGATGGTGCTAGGTTGGATCTGAAGGTGATGTTGGCATTCCTTTCTGGCTGACTTTATGGTGTCTTTCATTGCCTTTTCATAAGAATAAATATACATAAAAGTAACAGGTAGAAATGGCCAATAGGGCTTCGGTGATGTGATGTATTTTTATATAAAAAACATGGACAAACACTTGCACAAATTGAGAAGATCCAGAGATTGCCATAGTTGCTCAAGGCTCATTAAGGTAGTCAGCAGAGTGCTGTGAGCCATTTCCCATTGGCAACACTTCTCTGGAGTTTGTTTATAGAGAATATCTCCGTGGTGAGCTGCTGCTTGGTGATGCTTACCCTTGGTGAGCTTCCTCTTGGTGGCGTTTACCTGTGGTGAGCTTCCTCTTGGTGGCGTTTACCTGTGGTGAGCTTCCTCTTGGTGGCGTTTACCTGTGGTGAGCTTCCTCTTGGTGGCGTTTACCTGTGGTGAGCTTCCTCTTGGTGGCGTTTACCTGTGGTGAGCTTCCTCTTGGTGGCGTTTACCTGTGGTGAGCTTCCTCTTGGTGGCGTTTACCTGAGGTGAGTTTCCTCTTGGTGGCGTTTACCTGAGGAGAGCTTCCTCTTGGTAATGTTTACCTTTCATTTTCTTTATGGTACGTGCAGTTTCTGTGAAGGATTTCTTCCCCCAATGACTGCACGAGTGGTAATGTTGAGAGATGCGTCACAGTGGTATGTTGTTATTTATTTGGCATGGCTTGGACTAGTTGCTGTTTTCAGTTGATGCCTTTAGGGAGCTACATTTTGGTGGTGTTGACTGTTGGTGAGCTGCATTTTGGTGTGCTTTCTCTTGGTGACGTTCACTTTTGGCGAGCTTTCTCTGGTGTTGCTTCCATTTCTGGACTTATTATGGATATATTTCAGTAGAGATTTCATTCCTGGTGCTGCATGCTTAACATCTGGAAAGCATTATACCTTACCATAAGCTAAGGTAAGGTATAATACTTTACCCTGGAGATCATTCTACTGATAGTTCCTTTGGACTTGCCAAATTGTGATATACAGTATTTCTGTAGATTGTCCTGGTAATGAGTATCTCTGAAGGTCTTCAGCTGATTCTGCCCTTAGGAGGTCTTCCTGTACATGTTCCTCTTGTGATCTTACTATGCGTTATATTTCCCATTTGAGACCACTTATTAACTCGTGCTCCCTTGGGACCACCTCACTATTAACTAGTGCTCCCTTGAGACCACCTCACTATTAACTCGTGCTCTCTTGGGACCACCTCACTATTAACTAGTGCCCCCTTGAGACCACCTCACTATTAACTCGTGCTCCCTTGGGACCACCTCACTATTAACTCGTGCTCCCTTGGGACCACCTCACTACCTGTATTAACTAGTGCCCCCTTGAGACCACCTCACTATTAATTCGTGCTCCCTTGGGACCACCTCACTATTAATTCGTGCTCCCTTGGGACCACCTCACTATTAACTAGTGCCCCCTTGAGACCACCTCACTATTAACTCGTGCTCCCTTGGGACCACCTCATTATTAACTCGTGCTCCCTTGGGACCACCTCATTATTAACTCGTGCTCCCTTGGGACCACCTCACTATCAACTTGTGCTCCCTTGAGACCACCTCTCTATTAACTCGTGTCCTCTTGGGACCACCTCATTGTTAACTAGTACCACCGATAACCCCCCCTTCCTCCCCTCCTTCCCCCAACACCCATATCTGGAGAGTTTTTTACAAGTAGCTCTTGCATCTTTGAGGGGTTTCTGATGTTGACATTTTTCTTCGAATAGCTTACAGCTTCTTTGTTGTCATTTTACTTTTGGAGACTTTCCTACAGGTAACTCTTCCTTTTGCTGGGAATCCTATAAGCTACTTGGCTCTCCGAAGAACTTTTTACTTTTCTCTTTGTAGGGCAGTCTACAGGCAACTTGCTTTTGAAGAGCTTTCTACAAATAACTTTTTTACTGCAGTACGTACTGGTTTCATACTTAGTGTAATTATGTTTATGAACTGCAAGCTGTACTGTGTTAATAATTTGCTATGAAGTCTTTTTCTAAAGCTTTCTAGGTGCCATTACAGAGCATGTAATATATTGAACATGTTATACTAAAGTGTTGTATTTCTTTTAATATATCTCCTGCAGTTTAATTAACAGCTCTAAATAATTATGTCTATACTGCCAAGAGCCATTGAGATATTACTTAATAAGATTTTACATTTACGCTACTAAAGTCATGAGTAGTAATTCATTTGACTTTTTCTTGATGTGTGAGTCCTTTGATAATGTTTTGCTATTTGTTGAGTATAGTACTAAGGCTCTGGATTGCCATCTAGTACACTACTGCTTAAGATGGGAAATGTATCTTAACATTCCTTTAAGACATTCTTGCAAAGTTTTGAGCAAACTTATTGGCAATAGTCAAAAGGCATCTTAATGTTGAGGACCCCAACATACATATTTGACATATTTTTAAAGTGATACACACAGGAAGCACTTCACATCAAGTTATATGAAGTAGTTTGGCATCGCAGTGTATGGATTGTGAGACTAGGATTACTGTATACATAATGCGTATGTAGTGTAGCAAATGGATGGGGTTATTTTTATTATCTCTCTTAAACTTTTCTTGTATGCTTTTCTTCTTCCAGGCTGAAAAATAATTTTTTCTATATTTGAAGTGAATTTGTCTAAAAGTTTGTGCAGTCAAGTGATTGTGCTTGCGGGGGTTGAACTTTGACTCTTTGGTCTCGGTGTTGATAAGCAGATCTGTAAACAGTGATGTTAGAATACAGTTACTAATTTTATTAAGTAAGTTTTATTCTAAAATTGTAATATGTTCCAACATTGAGTTGTATATTGCAATAATTAGGTAGGTGATATTCTACATGAAGGATAAATTGAGTAAATATGTGCACTCGGTATTTACATTTATATTTTGCCATATAACTTAAGGTACTGTTATTTCTTCACGATTTCTAATTATAAGCACAAGTTTGAAGATTAATAAGCCATATCTTTAGTGGGAATAAGGTTTTTTCTCTCAAGTATTTGTGGTAAACATAATGTGATTTCTATCTAAGCAAAACAGTTTGACATTGTGAAATGTTTGTACGTTGTTGAACAGTAAATATTGATTTAAACAAAAATCTATCTTCATAAGTACTAAAAACTGCCGACAGATTAATTAACAAAGGTTACCCGGATTTTACTGTTATTAGAAAAAAGTTCTTTATTTTTTATAATTAAACTATAGTACTTAGTTGCCCAATGGGTACGTGGCCAAAGAATATGAGAGATTTTGAATAGGTGTGTAAATGATGGTAATGTAAAATGATGGTTCTTGGCTTTTTACCCAAGTACTCTTGGTCATGTGTTTGACTTCGTGGGAGGACAGTAATATTACAAGGTTGAATTGTCAATGTAGCAAGTACTGTATATATGTACTCTTATGTATACACTACATAAGAAATTTGCTGAAATACTGTTCAATGTTAGATTGGCTAGAAATTCAAAACTTCAAATCCCACAAGGTGCAAATGTAAATGTTTAGGTGGAAAAACTAAACAAGAATTTTTGAGTGATTTAAGAGAAATTTGTCACTTGAAATAATAATGCATTTTATTTTCCGTTTCCTTGTGTGTCAAGGACTATGGAGTGTACCTTGTATTTATCAAATATACAGTAGAGTTAGTTGGAACCATTCAGCTCAGTTGATTGTTTTATGTTTTAATCATATGGTTTGCTCAAACGAGGGTACTCTCAACTTTTATTGAAAGTATGATAATTTAGTATGTAATGATAAAAGGACAACAGAGATCTGATATAGCTTAAATTCCTTAAAGTTATCCTTTTATTCTGGTACTAAAAACCAGCAATTTCCAGTACTGTACCTAATTTAAAAAAAAAATGGTTTGCTGCAATTTTTTTTTTTTACTTCAACTTTTCAATGCCTCATTTGTTTGAGGCATTAAAAATAAGTAAATCCTTTTGAATTTTCTTAAGCAATACCAGTAATAGCTATAGAGTATTATATAATTGGTTTATTAATGTTTATCATTCTCTGAGCTTGATATTACAAAATAAAGGTCAGTGTAATGCTGAAAGAATTTCTTCCCAATGATAGGTGACATTCTGTGACAAATGCTGGTAAGTAATACTATACAGTACAGTATTACTAAAAGCTAAATGTGTGATAACATGTGCCATAGAATACAACAGTGACATTCCCTCATCGTGATAATTTGCTGTGCCTTTGTGCTCGTGTCATTGTCCGTGTTAAGCCTGTTTGAGATCATTCTTTGCTCTAATTGATAGTTGAAGTTCTTTGTGTACTTAAATCTTGCTTTAATATATTTTTTTCACTGCATGTAAAATAATTGTATGTAGTGTACTAGTAACTTGGTGTCCTATGAAGACATGTTGTCAAAGTGATATTAATTTTGTCAAGTTGAATCTCAATTATTATTATTACTGGGTAGTTTGCATATCTTGTTCAAGAGAAAAGTTTACTTGTCATCGCTATACACACTTCATTTAGATATGGTATTCACTATGTAATAATTTTGTTATTAAATGTACCTTTATTACCTAAAAAATGGAAATCTTCAATAAAATAAGATTTACAAATGATTATCTGTGTGTAGTATAGTACCGATACTTTTAACATAATTAAAAATTTGTTGTATGGTGCCCCTCTGAGGGTTAAAGTTGTGTTTATTAGTAAGCTGCAACATAAATTCCTGAACTAAATACCTCTTATGCTAAATGCTTGTCTTAGTCATGTGAGAAAATATCTTTGACATGCAACACTTTTCCTATTACCTGTGATTCCATATTTTTAATGGTTTTGGACTATATAACTATAGTACTGTATGTATATTATTGTAATTTTTAACAATGCCCAGTTCATATGCATCACTGCCCCTAGCCAGTCAAATCAAAGTTCAATTGTGGAAAGGAGCAGTGCATATAAAATTTATATATATATAATCTCATTACATACATAAATACACATGCCATTAAACACAACAGCATTGACATTAATTTTCTTTTGGATATTTTCCTTCCTACACAAGTATCTTCTACCCTCTGGAGGGTGAGGAAATGCTAGATCGATTAATCTTTCCATTTTTACTGTTCGATGTTTTGTCAGCAATGTGACATCTTCAGGAGTATACTGTTGAACTGACATAGATATACAGTACTAAGCTTGCAAGGAAAAATCTGGACATATATATGTATGGGTACACCTTGCCCCCTTAATCGTAGAGAGCGGCAAAGGATAGGGTAAGGTGATTGTTGCCCGACTCCTGCTTATAGCTGTCGGCCAGGTCTTGCATCCTCCCTCTAGATCAATGGAGGACCGTTGAACAGCTGCATGCTCGAAGTCGAATTCATCTGGATGTTGATTACTGGAGGTAGCTCCTGAATGAACACAGCCTCAAGCATACGAAGCCCCCTACGGTTGTCGGTGCGTGTGATTACTGTCGTAGCTTTCACCATGTCTTGGCGATTCAGGATGGTGTTGTGGTATTGAGAATGATGTTGCTTAATACATCTGTCTTGCAAATGAAGTGCAAGACATCTACTCAATGTATTCGTGGTACAGTATGTCCAATGTAGCATATATTTCAGAGTGCACAGTCTCCAGAGCTGCATTTGTATTGATACACTGCCTCCTTTGACAAACTGAGGTGTACTAATGTAGTATATCAATACAAATGCAGCTCTGGAGACTTTGCACTCCAAATTAACAAGACCATCACTTAAAGTTCCAAATTCTGCCATGGTAAGGAAGAGAATCGGTAGTGGAGTTTGCAGTATGACAAGTTTCTTTACTTGAAGTATTGTTTTAAATCTATTAGTGAACTGTTTTCTTGTTAATCTCTAGTCTTAAGTTAGAGCAATGCAATTTAAATAAAATGTGGCTTTAGATTAAAGGTTTTCACCATCCCTTTTAAGTACCTGTATCGTTGACAAGCATAGTGGTAAAAACACTGAAAAAATAATTAGAATCAAATGGATAGAACACCCAGAGAGAGATATAATAACACAGTATGGTTTTCAATCGGGAAAATCCTGTGTAACAAACTACTTTTGTTTCTATGGTAGTCAGTGATTTTACAGGAGAGAGATGGATGGGTTGACTGCATTTATCTGGATATAAAAAAAAGGCTTTCGACAGACTCCTACACAAGAGATTTTCTGGAAACTGGAAAATGCTGGAGGAGCTGAAGAAGGTAGAAGATGGAAAAAGGAATCCTGAAAGAAGATAAATCCAATGTTATTAGAGCTCATGGAAGAAAACCCTTGGAGGAGCAACCAAAGACTCAAACACAGAGGGAACCAGAGACTCGACGGGCTCCTCCCAGGCCATGGAAACTGAAAATGAAGACCCCTGGGGCATAGCCAAATTCTGAACCTAATACAAGGACAGACAGGAAGGCATCTCCAAACATTAAAAAGATCCGAGCCAAATGCATCATCCAAGAGAAACAGAGGGCATGGATCCTCAGCAGAAAGCAATAGCTCAACTGTCCAGCATCAACGAGGAAAGGGCAATCCCAGAAAATCCTGAGCTACACCCACAGCTAATTGCAGCCCAGACTCCAAAACCCCCAGATGTCCTGGATCCCAGAACAAATGGAAAGGGGAGGGGAGAAAAGAGGTCTTAAATCATGACAGACAGAAAATGGAAGGAGAAAATAGCACCAGTAGAAACACCAGCCCCCCCCCCAATCAATTCCCAAACCAAAATGGGCCAACTCTAGAAACAATCAAGCAGCACACACAAACTCTCAAATGAACCCCTAAGTGGCCCATGTCTGTAAAGATTCATTACTACAAAATAAAATAAAGCCTAATTCTTTTTTGTTTAAATAGAGGATCAGTGTACCCAAATATCACAGACCTCAGGGAAGAAGTAATTCCTATCCAACAGGCAACAGAGTACATATTATCATCAGTTTATAATAAAACCAATGGGTATCTTTTTTTTCATCCCATAAATAAATAAATCACCAAAACACCCCCAACCTCAGAGGAGTCTGTGATCCTAGCACTACTCTGGCCAAGGCACCTTACACAGTAAGTTGGCCTCTATGGGATTACTGTAACTCTCAAACCCACCAGGGAAGTTACTCACTCAGGGCAGAGCACTTAATGAAGGGCTGCCCTAAGCAAATAGAGCTCAAGGAAAACAGTTTCCAAAGTTCACACAAATGAAGTTTGTAAAAACATGCATGTGTAACTAACCCTAAATCATGGAATGATAGACAAACAAATGGCCTTACCATAGGACAGTCCAAAGGATGACTAAAACTTTAGAAATAGTTGGTTCCCAGAAGGCCGGCAACGCGATGAGTTATCTAAACAGCTGGACACCAGACAACGAACTGAGGATTGTGGAAAGCCACTGTAACTAGGGGGGTTTGAACCGACAACTGGGTGGATCAATTCTTGATTCATTTGCTGCTTCATTTCTTTTTTCTGTGAACCTTGCAGTTATTCATTTTGCTTCATTTTTTTTGGATGACTATATCAGTCTCCCTACCCCCAGAGAAGTTGAAATAAATAAACCTGGAGCCATGGGATACTACCTACTAGGGTAAAAATGGAAGCCAAGTGTGAAGTAGTGCACGACTGGGTGCATCGTCTCATATGGCACTTACCCTCTTCAACAAAGGAGACCTACTGCATTGTACATTCACCTATGCCAGTGCAAAGACCCATTGCCCCTTCACGAATCATCCAGGACACCGAAATTCATCCATTTAGGACAGCGCCTCCTTCGGGTGGTCCAATGACCCACTTAAGTGTCCTGATCTCAGCAAATGTGCCATTCTAACAAACTAAAGGGAATGGAGCTACCGACATTAGCCCAAGAATGGCATACACGAATCCCCTCATCAAGACAAGGTGACAACCACGAAGAATTAAATTTGAAACAGTACGGTTGTACTAGTCGGAGACTAGGCCTTGGACACTGATCCTGAGAACCATTTCAAGATAACCCTGGGTTACCACCTATCACAGTGAGGAGGAGCCCCCGAGTGTAGGCTTACACAGACGGTATCTTTTACCTAGTGTTTCCCATTTGTAACAGGCAGTCACTGTTCTGAACATGGAGAAAATGCTTTCACCTATGCTGGTAAAGACCTTCCTCCGTAATATCCAGACACCCATATCCATCTCAAACAGGCATGCCATGTGGTGGGCAGTTTCACTCATGTTACCACTGCAGGCAAGAAAAGGGAGCAGAAGCCACCCACACCTGCCCCAGAATGGTGCACAGTACTCGAGTTCCCGTGTCTCATCAAAGCAATATACTGTACATGAGGGGAAATAAATTAGTAATTATGTTATTAATATAATCTGTTCATTTTATTCAAATCTGACTTTTTTGCAGATAAGAAAATAAAAATGTTCTGCCTATTAAGTAAAATACACCATGTCTATTATGCCTATATAGTGTAGTTCTGGCCATATTATATATATATAATTATTTATATATATATATATATATATATATATAGATATATATATATATATAAAATGACAAGTGTTGACCATGAAGGAGGAATGAAACAGGAATTTCCTTAATTACTTTCGAATTTAATAATACATCTTCAGAAGGATCACATTATTATTAAATACGAAAGAACTTAAGGAAATTCCCATTTCAATCCTTCCTTCGCGGTCTGACACCGTCACATTTTTCATCATGTGTTAATTTCCGTGATTTACACACAAATATGTATTATGTATATATTATATATATTATATATATATTATATATATAGTCAGTCATTGCTAGTTGTGGTGAGATTTTACATATAGCAATTTGTTACAGGTTTTGTACAAACATGAAAAGCCATTACTTTCTTCGTAAGAATTATTCCCCAGGTTTATGAGTAAATTTTCAGCATTTTACTGCTCACTTTGTGGTAACACTTTCAAAACATAAACAGAATTGTATTCCAATTTAATAGTGTTGAATCAGATATAAACTTATGAACTTCATGCATCTCCATTTATTCTTATATTACTGTTTAGTACAAAAATGTATTTTATAAATAATATGAAAAGACAAACTTACACACAGTCTTAAAACTAAGTGACGGAAAAGAGTAACCAACAGCAAGCATTGGATATTTACTTTTAAATATGGGAAAGATTAAGAAGGAAAAAAAAAAAAATATATACAGTATGTATATAAATATTTTATGTATATATTATATATATACAGTATATACTATTATATTATATATATAATATATATATAATGTATGTATATAATATATTTATGTTATATAATGATTATCTGTAAATACGTGCTGCTGTTGTCAATATGAAGCAAGAAAATGAGTGAGGTGTCTCTCCAAAATGCAGTATCCTTACATTAAAAAAAAAAAAAAAAACAGAAGCACAGCTGTCTTAATGCCAAAGCTGTGCTGCCAAGTAATCTCCTCAAACACACTGTACAGAATCAATTTGACTTGTTTTGAGATCAAGAGACATTTAGATACAATATCTAAAATAGTTCCTACATTAACAAATGGCTACTGTATACATAAGCAGGTTTTGATAGAAATATATCCACATTGGATCAAAAATTATAATTCACAAATTAATATGCACATTTTGTGAAGATGCCACATTTCACTATAGAATTCTAATGCAATACTGCATACAGGACATTACCTCCAAGCAGAGAGCAACCACAAATAACACACAAACTTACTAAATCGAGAATTCCTAGGGGTGTAAGGGGAGTACCTAGGGGTGTAAGGGCAATTCTTAAGGATGGTCTGGTAATTATTTGCTGGATATTCTATAAATAAGACTTATGCAAAGTTTCCTTAAAATTCATCAGCTGTAAAATGACTGCTTACAAATATTTATAAAACTGCCTTTTTTTTCTGTGGTTATCGGAAAATACATAAAAATAGTACAGAGCTATATCTGCAACATGATCCAGCCTCAGTGCATATCTGGACCAAATTTTATCAGTAAAGTATGTTTCAAAGCAGGTTAAATCTCAATTATTCATTCTAGACTAACTATAACAAATATACACACTAATATACAACTTTAGGTCAGTCTACAATAAATATTTTGATTTTTTTTTACCATCATGCATATATATGAACTGGAAACTCCAAACTCAAAGATACTGCCCAGACATTTATCAGAATTATTGTGAAATGTAACATTCACAATAAAAAACAATTTACATTTTTTATTCACATGTAATGTACTGGTCCTTTGAAAAATAATCCTATGTTGTGATATTCACAAAAAAAATGCCCATGACTTGCTGCATGTTATCACCATTTGCAGTGTGTCACAATTATTGCATGAAATTAAATAAAATTACTGTGTATGAAAGTCACAACCATTATCCTGACTACCATTTATCTCATATGCATCATCATTCAAGTTAGAGTTCCTGCTTCAAAGGTTTCTCTCATAGATTTGAGCATACGATTTTTTTTAATTGCGCTCTCAACTTCAGATATTTCTTTAAGTATTTCCTCAAGAGCAGAGACAGCTTTTAAGGCTTCCTGACGAGTGCCACTGATACTAACAGAGTCCGAGGCCAGATGATGCTTAGCAATAGTCTCTAAAGTAGACAACACCCTTGTGCAGTGTGGGGAAGCTAAAATCTCTCTGAGCTTTATGGCACAACTGCTAGAGGCATTTGTTGAGACGGGGCTTGAATTTAAAGATGACTGTTGCTTAGCATCAAGACTAAGAATAGTTGAACCTTGGTATATAATTGCAGAAGATACCAATGCCCTGACTGCATCAATACCAAGGTTGTAATAAGTGACCACTGCACACACCTCTAGTACTGCCTGTTGCTGACAACGATTAGAGAAATGCTGTAACAACTGATGTTTATTAGACGTGTCTTGATCTGTGACCTCGTATCCACACACACAACACTGCTCGTTATTACCAATTTTCACAGGAGATAATTCTAAAAATTCACCATTCACTAGTCTTCCATTGACCTGAGATTCTTTTTTGGTTCTAGGACTACCTCTTGCAGATATAGGCACTACTCTCTGCATATTATCAGCCTTATTTACAATTTCCTTCAGATTACTTTCAATCAAACTAGTACCTATTTTCTCAGTTTGATTTACTAAAGATGCTACACAACTGTCACTATGTGGTGAGGTAGAAGCCCTATCATTGTCACTTGCAACATTTTCTTTGCTACATCTCTGACTTATCACAGAGGCTTTACATGAAGATGTTTGAACAGTGGTTACATCACTGATAGTAACTACAGCCTCTGAAAGTTGAGTATGAAGAGAAGCAGAATTTTTATTTCTCTTTAAGGTCTTGCTGTCTTGTCTGTGTGTTGTACGCTTATACTTGACCATACGACACGAAGTTGTGTGTTTTCTCTGGGTTCCTTTTAGTGCAAAAGTTAAATGGCAGTGTGGACACTCAAAAAGATGATCCTCTGCTTCCATAAGACTCATCTCAAAAGCAATTGTAACACAATCCTGTTGGTGATCTTCTAGTGAGGCAAGAGACCCAAACTTTAATCCACAATCAATACAGCTAAGTTCATTTGCATCCTGTTTATTGTTGTTATTAGTCTTCTTTCTTTTAGTATTTACACAATTCTTTTTAGGGGGACTAGCAAGATTTACAAGAGATTGGTCAATATCCTTCTTGAAAGCATTGACTAACTCTTGTTTATCTTTGGATGGCACTCCTGACGTTGAAGCTGCTCTCTTTCGTTTCTCTGGCTTTTTCTGCACAGCAATAATTCCTCCTCTGACTGAACTAATTACCTTCTCTTTAGGATAAATTTCTAGTGAAGAATCTAGGGTACTCTCTGATTTAGTTTGCAATAAACCTTCTTGGGAAGATCCGATTCTCTTTTTTCTTGGCTGTGGAGGTTTCAAAGATCCCTCTTTCAGAGGAGGCACTTGATGTTCAATAAGAAGAGATACTGAACCACCATCTTCCATCATAAGTTCATTAGTAATTTCCTTTAACTCAGGTGGATTTTGACCATCTTGCACCTGAACTAGTATGGATGATCTGGTTGGAATGTCTTTAATCTTTTCTACCGATGATCGATGTCGTTTGACTCTGGCAGGTGTTTTCTGAGTAAGAGTTAGATCTCCTTCACCATTACTATCACTTTCAGAAAGATCTAAAGGTCCCCCCTTATCTTCCTTAAAAATATTCATTGGTTCCAAAATTGGCATCGTGTGTGATACACAACAGCCAAGTTTTTCTTTAGAAGACTTTATGACTTTGGTGTTGATCTCTGAGCTTCCACACACTATGCTTGTGGTCTTTAAGGTCTTCTGGGGAAATGCTTTCCTTACTGAAGATTGATAACTCTTTTGAATTTCACGATCTGCACTTTCAGCTTTTGAAACTTTAGTTAGATTTGGCATGTTTAAATCTTTTACATTTGCTTCATTAGAACAGTTAAGAATTTTCTTTGGCTTGGTAATTGGCTTGGCAACATCTGACAACTCTGAGTCACTAGCAGTGCTACTATTATTAGCTTCCAGTATGGCTTTCACCAGCTCTAACCTTTTCCTAGGTTTTCTCGCTCCCATTTTATTTTTATCTGCCTTCTTAGAAGGCACTGGAATAAAACCTTCAAAACTTGAAGATTCTGAATCATGACCAATGGATTCTTTTAACAATGAATCTTTCTTTTTTACTAGAAAAGGTGCCTTTGCCATCAATAAAGGTTTCTTTTGCCTAGGTTCTTTTTGCGTACTTTTGTTATTTTTCTTATTTAATGCCGATTTTTTCTTTTTATTGCTTTTTTGTGCTAAAGTTGCGAGTGGAAGATCATCATCCTCTTCTTCAGGCAAAATGTGAGAAAATTCTTTATCAGTACTAAAATTCTGATTAGAGCAGCCAAAAATATTTGGACTTATTTTCTTAACTTTCTTTTTTCTTTTGGCAGTTGAGGGTAATCTAACTATTCCCTCATCAGGAAGTTGCCCCAAAAGTCTATCCTCTGGAGGCTGAAAAACCTCCATAGCTCTTAATTCAGACTTTGGTTTCTTTTTCTTTTGTACTTTCCTAACAATTTTTGCACCTTCAAGTGTGGACTCCTCACTGGCTGTGGAAACAAGGGTACTCGATAACCAGGAATTTTTCTTCTTGGAAACTAATGGGGTCACTTCCTGTACATCATCTTGTACCACTGGTATGGGGGTGTCCTGAACACTGCTCACAATTGCATCAATGGAAGTCGTTCGGGATTTCACATTCTTCTTTTGTGTTTTCCCTATGATGGGGAGAGTCCCACCTGTGTGTAAATTAACTCTAGATTCGGGTGGTAATTTAACACACTTTTTCTTTTCAATTTTCTTTGTAGATTCTTCAATTTCCATAACATTTTTGGCAACATTTTTTGATTTCACATGTTTACTTTTTAATTTGATTGAGGTTCCTTCAGTGTCCTTCTGACCACTGTTAACAGCTACTTTAGGCTGTATCTCTTCCATATTCCCTTTTCTTTGTAGTTTCTCAGCAGTGTCTTGTACATCTTCCTCTAACTTATTACTACAAATCAATCTACCCAGCAAATGTTTATTTTTATTTGGCAACATTTTCAAAGTCAATTCTTCTTTACTTGTGATATCATCAAGTGCACTCGCCAATTTTCTTTTCTTTCTATTTACTTTCTCCTTACATTCAATATTGTCTTCGTTCCCACTAAAATCATAAGTGTCAGTATTCACTTGAATTTTATTCTTTTTTCCTTTCTGCAGCTTCACTTCCATTTCCACCTCACTAGGAACAATACTGCTAGTAGCGTGTTGTAATTGGATTGCCTGCTTAGTGTTAACAGGCACTTCCAATTCTGACTCTTTTGCCAAGCTGTCATCTATTGGTGATACACACCTTAAAGGTTTACTAATCTCCTTCATTCTTGCCATTTTTCTTTTCTTTCTGTTGGACAATGCCACTTGTTCTATATTAGAATCAATTTCTTTTTCTGACCAATCCAGGTCTGAGGAGCTATCATAGGGAACGTATGCATAGTCATCCTGGTTTTCATAGTTGGCTACCTTTCTTCTTCTTTTTGATGTTACAGGCAACTCATCAGAAAATTCCTCTTCTTCCTTTTCTAGATAATCAACCTTTTTTTGCTTATTATCATCAGATTCTTCTACACTTGAATCACCCTCGTCTGTCTTTACTGAAGAGCATGTGCGGAACGAGTAACGAGTATTTATGGGTATCCGCTTATTCCTCAGTCCCATTCTTCCTCCACAACGTCGTCCACTTCGAAAATTGCGAATAACTTCTGGTTCTGAATCATACGAGTCACCACTCTCGTCTTCACTTGAAGAAGAATAATACAACACTTGCTTCTTCCCTCTTGGCAATTGCTTTTCTGCTGCTTCCTTAACTTCACTTTCTTCAGACTTCAAAATTTCTTGTACTTTTGTCTTTGTTTCTTTACAATTAACTAATTCACCTTCACTTGGTATTACTTCGATCATTGTAGAGGTATTAGAATCTGCACTTTTCTTTGTTTGCGAATGCTTTTTCACCACCTCAGCCAAATTTCCCATTTCTTTAATTTTGTTAAGCTTAGCTTTCTTTTCTTCCACTAGAACTTTAGAAGATATAGCAGAACTTGGAGGAAGAGAGGGAGGTATTACAGAAGTCTGAGTAACAGAAGAAACTATACAACTTGCAGTAGCAGGGGTCTCTGTATCTAGTACACATTCTGAATCAAGTGATTTTCTTTTTTTACTGCTAACTTTTTTGGGTGGCTTTTTGTCAATTTTACCTCCAGGTTTATCTGAAACCTCACCATTCTTACCCAAGAGTGACTTTAGTTTTGACCCTATGATCTTTTTACCCAGAGTTTGCTTTCCAAGAGTTTTGCTCTTCTTGAGCACACAATCTTTCTTTTCTACTAGCCCAACAAGCTTCATTAGATCACTTTGTTTCACACAAGTTTCAGCAGGGTTTACATCTAAGGCAATCTTATTAGCTTTATTGCTCAGTTTCTTCAATGGCAATTGCTTAAGTTTCAATTCTGTGTGTTTCTGGGAAGTTTGCGTGCCAATGTTTAAAGATTCAACTTTCTTTTTAGCTTTCTTATCTTTATCAATAACTCCATTTATTTTCTTCTCTGTTTGTATCTTCTTTACCACCTTTGAAGCTTCTTTATCACCTACTTGTTTTGACCTTTTCTTATTTTTTGAACTACTAACAGCACTAGTAACTTGTAAGGTCAACAAAGTAAGAGGCTTGTTTACTTCACTCGCAGTATTACCATCAGCTTTAGCTCCAGCAACTTTGCTAACTTTTTTCTTCAACTTCTCTTTACTTTTGGATTCTTCAACATCGTCATTAATTGGTTGCTTAAATTCTTTTACACTCTCAATACATGTAACATCCTTCAATGCACTCATTTTATGATCAACCAATTCTTCCTCATTTTGTGCTCCTTGATCTAGAACTACATTCTCATTCTCACTCTTACCAACAATTTTCTTTATATCCTTTTTCTCTTCATTTCGAATGTTTTCTTTAACCCTATCACTGTGTCTAGTTTTCCTTAGTTTCCTGGTTTCCAATGCCTTCTTCCTTAATTTCATTCTGACAGTGCGTTTGCCTGGTAGTCTAAATGTATTACTGCCAGAACCACGGGACCCTGAAATTATGGCTTTGAGCCGGTTCTTTAACTCCAAATTATCAATGGAACCAACTGCAAGTTCCAGTCGTCTTTTTACTCCAGAAGAATGGATGAAGGCTGTGGATGATCGGTCATTCTGGGGAGTGTTGAGGCCAGATGATCCTGAAAATATGGTAAAATGTAAAAGTTCTCTAGTACTAAAAATAATCTACCTATCAATTCCTCCTGAATAGTGCAGAACATATACAAAGGGCCTTTAGACAATGACATTTTCATTTAAGCCTAAAATTAAAACATTGAGTGCCCTATTAAAAATGGTGCATTCACATGTCCACATCAGCCGAGAGAATCAAGAACTTTGCTCCCTGCTCAGACCAGTGGTGCCTATGAAGAGATATGTGCTGTTTACACTACCTTTTTCTGTAGTATATGCAAACACAAACACTGAACTGGAAAATGTACAAAGACATGCAACTAAATGGCTTCCAGAACTGAAAAACAAGAGCTACAAGGAGAGGCTAGAGGTGTTAAATATACGAAAGCTAGAAGAAAGAGGCAATATGATTACTATGTACAAAAGAGTAACAGGAAGCGACAACACTGACAAAGAAGAATTCTTGAAAACTGCAGAACAAGAGGTCATGGACAGAGTGGTAGAGGGTTGGAACAAACAAAGTGGTTGAGGCCCGAACAGTCAGTACAGTACTGTAGTTTCAAAGCGACATATTACAGAGTACCAGGAATACGGGGCACCACTAGTGTAGCTCTCATCTTGTAACTACATATAGGTAATGACACTCAAAATATAAATTATGTGAAAAGATACTAAATCACAAATTTCAGAGCCAATTTGAAATTCGTGGATGGTGAAATACAAAACAAGTTGTTCACAAAATTTGTGCAACTGAAATTAGAATATGCAGCATTTGTGTGGTGTCCATATGTTCAGAAGCACACCAACAAGCTAGAAAAGATGGAAGTTTGCACAAGTTCTTTTGGTAGGCCAAAAGAATTTGTGAAACTGATGTGACTAGTAGATTGGAGCAATCTCAGTAAGATAGCTACAGGGAGTCACCAAAAAAACTCCCACAGAAATACTGTATATACTGTACATGGTTTTTCTGTCACTTTTCTGGATGTGGTCAAACGTTGAACATAAGCATTACACTCTAATGCCAAACTTAATGTTAACCAATAAATATCTAAACTTTTACATTTGTCAAATACCTGTAGAATAAATCTGAATATTTATAGACAGCAAAGACATACATTGTGAAACCGCAATAGGAAAAAACTTACTGTCGCCAAACTTGGCTTTAAGTGGTGTGCTAGGCTGGGAGCAGTTACCGTACCGGTTGTTGGGAACCCCTTGGCCTTTGCGTCTCTTGAACCTGAAAAAATTAAAAACAACATTATTCATTAGTACCGTAATGGTTAATGCCATTACGGTACTAATGAAAAGAACAATTATATACAGTATATAGAAAGAAAAGATGAAAAGAACAAATATTATATACAGTATACTGAATACAGTATATATAAATATTATAATGTATTATGTATTATTTATATATATAATATATATTGATATAGTTATCAATTGCTTTAACTCAAAATGGCATATAATTTTGATAATTTTGAATCAACCATCAATGACCTAGTATCCAAATTTAAAATTAATTAAATTTTAAAATAAAATTACCAGATGCTTTAGCCCAGCATTTCTCAACCTTTGTGTCCTTTAAATATTTCTGGGTTGTACTTTATACACACACACACATATGGATTTCATTGTAAACTGAAAGGAGATGATTTCTGTCTTTGCTCTGGATTCTGGTTAAATGAGAAAAATTAAACAAAAATGACTCCCCAAAAGTGCACTTGCATATGATTAGAATCAGTGATACTTTACCACTACCTCTTGTGGAACCCCTAGTTACCCCTGGGGTTCCACAGAACCCTGGTTGAGAAATGGTGCTCTAGACTGTATTTAGATACAGTATTTTAAAGTAAAAACTTTACTTTTACGAATTACTGTAATCAAAATCTTAAGCCTTTACAAATATGTTATCTAAATGTTCTCTATTCAAGAGTGTTTATTCTGGCATAAATTGTCAGGCGGCTTCCCTGACCTCTTGAATATGGCTGCTTATGGCAAGCAAACCCAAACAGCCACATCAACCAAGTCAACCAAGTTACTCCTGTAGTCTTATCAAGTTCCCTCTTCCACCCTTATTCAAGTTATTTTTCATACTTACTACTAGAAAAATTAAGTTATACGTCTGATGTAAAAACAATGTCCTATGATTTTGCACACGGTACTTCTCATTGGGTTTATTCTGTGTCATCTTTCATTTTAAGTTGTAATTTTATTGTAACAATTATAGACTGTCTTTGAATACTTTCTAGGCACAGATTATGAAATACCTATGTCATCTCTATTGAAAGTTTTCTTTCCTTTCTTTTTCATACATGTGGGTACAGGAGAAGACAACTCTAGGTTCTTGTTAGCAGGCTGAACACTATACTGTGCCTAATCCTACAAGTTTTCCCTTTAAATCCAATCTGGGCAATCTGTTTACAGCTAGGCCACAAATTACTGCTGGGTAAACAAGGTTAAGGTGACCCAGTTGACCTTCCTTGCCCAGGTTTCTAACCATGCAATAGTAACTTATGAGGTGTGGGGAAAGGATGCTACCATTGCACCAGACACTGCTTTTCAGTGCTAACATAATTTAAATGGTTTTCCAATTAATTCTTTGAGGATTGGTTTATGTGAAACCAATGGGGTAAGAATCATAAGATATGGAGTGAGAAAGAAAGTAAGGAAGGAGCAGGCCTTTTAATATATGAAGACTGGTACAGATCAATGAATGCCTGCTTGTTGTGCAGTTCAGGATGCTCGAGAATGAGTTTCAAGTTTGTAGAGGTTAAGCTGGCTGTAGTGACTGCACATGATCACTGCTCTTAAAGAAGTAAGAATAGCAAAAAATACTTGCAGGTTATGAAAAGCTCTGTTCTGACAGTTGTTGCTGCTCCCAGATGTATAATATAGTGATTCACTGCACCCATTAGGAATCGAGGAATAATCAGGAAGGAAAAACACATGCCCCTGTTGCTATAACAACTACAGCACCTATAGATGACCGACTGTTGTTGGGTGCTATAAGAGAAATTCCCTTCATTCGGGACACCGCATTTTCAGAAAAGTCTAATATTAAACTCAATTTGTTTGTGTGCCTCTGATTTTATGATCAACGTTTGTTCTGTTTCGGCGATTGCCCTTTTGTGATGGGGCTCACTCAGCCGGTCCAACTCCTCTCGAGTAAGGCACTTGCAGTGCTTCTAGTGACATGGGGTTTGAACATGTAGTCTAGTTAGTGACTGTGCAGAACTTGCTGTATTACAAGTTAATTATTAGGGCAGTGCCCTCATTTATTTTGCAGGGAGTCTAACCTCACTCCTTAATACTGATTTGCAGGCCCTAATGGAGGTATCAAAGGGCTGACCACAAACAACAGTATCTTTCCACAAGGCACAAGAGCAGTGCCGACGAGTAACGAACTTACAGCAAGAGTGCATATAACCCAGAATTTGGCTCCAATGAGAGCTTATCATGACCAGCAGCAGGCAAAGTCCTGGTCCTACCTGACAGGCTCCAAAAAAAAACCTGAGAACCCAAAGACATAAGAAAAATGCTGGCATGAAGCTGCTGCTGAAGACAAAAACTGTGCAACAACATCCTCTGGGAAGAGGATTGTACCCGGGAGTTTTTCTACACCATAAGCCTGGCCCGGAGCCAGGTTTGATTTGCGAGAACTTGGTCAAACAGGTTGTTGCTTGGAGCACCCTGCAGGCCTACATATCTACCACAGCCCGGTTGGTCTGGCACTTCTTGAACAAAACAAGGCACAAAACAAGGCACAAGACAAAAACAAGGTATCTAGTTTTCTCTTGAAAACGTCCATGTTTGTTCCGGCAATATTTCTTATACTCGCTGGGAGTATGTTGAACAACCGTGGACCTATGATGTTTATACAGTGTTCTCTGATTGTGCCTATGGCAACCCCCATTCTCTTCACTGGTTCTATTTTACTCTTTCTTCCATATCATTCACTCCAGTATGTTGTTATTTTACTGTGTAACAACATTGGGACCTGGCCCTCCAGTATTTTTCCATGTTTATATTATTTGATATCTCTCTCATCTCCTTTCTAGGAGTACATTTGGAGAGCTTCGAGACAATCCCAATAATTTTGGTGCTTTATCGTGTATATGTATATTGTATAAGTTCTCTGTATTCCCTCTATTTCAGCAATCTCTCCCACACTGAAGGATGAAGCGAGTATCGAGCAGTACTCAAGACAGGACAACCCAAGTTATTTGAATAGTAAAACCATTGTGATGGGATCTCAGAATTTGAAGGTTCTACCTTCCCCAGTTGGCGGGAAGGTAGTGCAAACAAGCTCCCATTAGTTTCAAGATACATGATAATTTGTTTACATTATTTGTGGGAGTTCATTTGGCAACTTTGAGGTTTCAGTCTCTTTGAAACCAGCAGGTGGTCTGTATTGGATTGCTGACTTTCTGAATGCTTTCTTGGTGGGGTGGCAGTGTCACTTAATCTCTGTGGCCAGGCTTTGGCTCAGGTTCTCAGTGGGCCAAACAACTCCACAGCTGATGTGACTTTATAGTTGGGAGCCACAATAGGCTTCCCCAGAAATTCACTAGAAAAATTATAAAAATAGTTAAGAGTCTAATATAATTTGCTCATACGAAGCATGAAATATATTGCGAGGCAAGTTGCTTCTCTGATGTATACATTCCTTGCCAGGACTACCTACATCATGAAAATAAAAAGAGGCAAGATTATCTATATCTAGTACTGTATGGCAGGAAAATGGTAATGATCAGAGCAGAGGAAGACTTGAAATGAAGACAGATTGGAGAAGACTTTGCAAACACTGAAAGAAGGAACATTGACAAGGGTATCGGATAAGGCTTAAATTCAAAATTTTGATTAATTTGGAAGATAAAATATAACTTAAAATTACAGTACATATTTCTGAAAAAGTTTGACATTACAAAATAATTAATTTATAACCGATTCATAACTTTCATTCATTCTTACCTGAATCCTTTTTTACTTTTCTTTTTTGTTGCTGACAGTAGAGTGAGGCCACCACAATCAACTAAATGGGCATGGAAGACATTTATGTCCTGGAAGTGCATATTGCAACTAGAGCAGGTCTTCTGATCCTTCCTTTCTGTCTCGGGCACATCTGCATCCGAATTTCTTCTGCTGGGTGCGGATTGCTGCATCGGAATCCCAGGCAGTGGTAAGCGGTATGGCCGATTGGTTGGAGGCTGGTATTGTTGACAGAAACTAAGTGGCACTACACCTTGTCCCTGTATCATAGTATGTGCACACCATACTGATGGGTGCATCTCCCACTTATGGTCCATAATGTCAGCCAAATTCAAAAAGCCGGCACCACAAGAACAACAGATGTACGTGTGTTCCTTGGACCATTCACCATCTACTACAACAGATGGCTCTGCAAACTCAAATTTTTCTTCAGTTTTCTCATCGTGGTCCCCTCTCCCAGACTGCATGCCTGACCTAGTTCGGGTCAGTAGGGGAACTTCCGGATTCTCAGCTTCCTTTTTATCTTCTAGGTCTAATTTTGCTTTAGGATTCTTCAAAAGAATTGGCGTACTAGAAAAAGTTACCACTTCCTTCTTTTGAGCTCCTCTCGATCTCATTGTAGAAATTCCCAAAATGTCAAACAAATCATTTTCCCGTTTAATTCGGGGACAGCTACCATGCCTTTTCCGTCCCTTTTTTAGAATTTTCTTTTGGAACTCCATTTGTATAGACAAACTAAAGTTTTTTATAAATTCATAATCATCACCAAGTGATATTTTAATGCTTTTTTTCCCTTTTAGATATTTTGCAATATCTTTTCCTGGATCAATCCTTGCTTCGTCAGGTACTACTGCTTCTTCCATCACATTTCTCAAGGGAAGTTTCAGATAACTACGGTCAAGATTTGGATCAAATACTTTACAACTAGTGTTGAGATGAAAATTTTTTCCATCCAAAAAATTTATATAGTTGTCATATATATTCCACGAAATTCCAAAATTCCCTCCAGATGAACGTGTGACAATAGACACAACCTGCTGATTGACGGCTTCCTTGTTTAACGAGATTTTGTCTTCAGTTTGGTGATATTTAGCATGGGATATTATGTCATTTTCAGGCACTACAGCTTTGCAGAATTTACAACAATTTTTCATAAAATGAATAGCTTGTAGGTGACTGGAAAATCCCTTTTCACAAGCAAAGTAATAATTGCATTTAGAGCAATAATAACTACTGTTGTGAATTAATGTCTTCCATTTATGAAAGGGATACGAATATTTCTTTTGATTACATTTACAAGTTGCATCACCACTTCTTACTTGATACACATCTTCATGGGTATTCAAATGAAATCTCACAGCATTAATGTCTTGTGATGCAAAGTGACATGACCGACAAACATATACGTGATTTTCTAAAGCGGCATCCACAGGGTCGGGTATGTCCATCATATCTTTTACTCTTTTTAGCATATGGTACCGATATGTAGTAGTTTCCTTTGCTGGCACAAAAGTGTTGCATATATGACATTTGGTAAGGTGATCCTCTAATGGTACATTTAATCTTATAGAGCACAATGGACATTCAGTTTCTAAAGCCTCTAATTCCAGAATCTCAACATCTCCCACTGAATTTGTATCTGTAGGCGTGCTAATAAGTACTTGCTCTTCTCTAATGTAAACATCTTTGATTGTTGGTATACATTTCATCAAGGTGTCACTTGAACTGCTACTTGTGTCAGCAGCAACAGGACCAATTTCATCCACATTTGGTAAAACTCCATCATTAATAACTTCTACCTCCACAGAACTTGATGAATCATCAGTCAACTGTTGTACCTCCTCCTTCACTGATGCTAATTTTAACAATTGATTACCATCTCCATCATTTTCAATATCAAAAGACTCCTTTAAAGAGGTTTCTTGATTAGTATGATTATTTGCTTCAGAGCTGGTAGGCTGGACCCTTAGTGAAACTCCTTTGTCATCTTTTTCATCGCATTTGCTAGCTCCATCTTCTATTACAGTTGATCCCATTAGGCCACTTTTTACTGCTTGGAGAGAATTACCGAGTATCCCAGCGGTTAAATATTCACCATTTCCTCTACATTCATTTTTATCTATATTATAAAATTCATCACAAAGTGGATGCCTAAGACTTTGACCAACTTGAAAGGAATCGATCAATGTCTTGCGCTTAAACATTACTAACTGTAATTTATCACCATCTAGAGATGGATCCGTCCATGAACCTGTTCCTACACGACTTGTAGAAGAAACTTTCAATTTATAATCTAAAGTGGGTTTGGGGAATGACTGGATTACTTGATTTGCAGTTTCAAGGGGTTGATAACTTGTCTCAGTGCTGGCTTTAAACAGTGGATAGCAGGCTTGGGTGGAATCTTCAGCTGATGGATGGCTAAATTCTGCACTAACCTCCAACAGATCAGGACTACTTTCAGCAAAAATTTCATCACTTAATGGATGATTTCCATCAGCAGTGACTTCATTATCTGTTGCCTGGTTGTCTTTAGCGGTGACTTCTTCAAATACTGGCTGGTTGACTTTAGAAGTTGCTTCTGTATCAATCGAGTGGCTAACATCAGAAGTGATATCATCTATTGGATAGCTGGGAGTGACTTCAATAGTTGTTGGATTGCTGACTTCAATATTCTCATAGCTTGACTGGCAGATTTCAGAAGCAACTTTGCCAATTGTTTTGCGACTTGCTTTTGCAGCGATTTCAAAACCTGATGGACGTCCAATCTTGGCGATTTCATCAATTATTGGATAACCACTTCGAACAGTGGTTTCACCAACCATTCTATGATTGACTTCTTCATCTGTTGTGTGGCAGACTATATTTATGGCTTCAGCTAGTAAATGGCCAAGTTCAGAACTGCTTACAAACTGAGAGCTACTTTCAATATATGGACAGTTCACACCAAAAGTGGCATCAGATGCTTTAGGTTGACCTTCAATAATCACTTCAGATCCTGCATGTTTAATTTCAGTCATATTTTTAGATATTGCACAATTAGCATCAGCTGGTTTAAATACAATTTCAGTATTAGCTATAGGTTTGAGGTGTCCGATCTGAGTTGGGGCTTCAGTTACATTGTTGACATCTGTGAAGGCTTTAACTCTTGTATATTTGGCTCCATCTGTTGTACATTTAGCTTCAGCAGTTGGGTCAGAAAATTTATATTTAACTGCAGTAGTGATTTCAGATGCTGGAGGATTGAATACAGTGGTGACTTTAGCTCCCAGATGTTTGACTTTATCTTTGGCTTGATGTCTCAAGTCAGCAATGAAATAAGGTGCTGGTCCAACATTATCTGGATGCGTCATGTCTAGTTTGCCATCAACCTCTGAACTGGTGATACCAGGCTGTACATCAGCCCCTGGAGGGGTAATGTCTGGTCTATCAGGCTTTGGATGTGCAGTATCTGGTTTGTCATCAACCTCTAAATGAGAGATACCCGATTTGCTATTAACCTTTGGACGAATAGCATATGATCTGTCATTTGCCTCAAGAAGAGTGATGGCTTGTCTGATATCACCTTCTGGACAAACCATGTTGGGTCTGTCACTAATCCCTAGATGTGTGATAAGTCTATTATCGAACATAGTTAATTGTTTGTTGGTTTCTTCCAGATAACTAATCTCAGCTGATGGGCAGACGACTTCTGTGGCTTTAGGCGATGGTGGGTGAATGATATTAAATTCCTCAGATAACAGGTTGATTTTAATGTTATCATCTATTGTTGGATGACTAACTTTAAGGGTTCCAGCTGATGAGATTCTGGAAGGTGGGATGCCAGTTTCAGTGGCCTCGTATGATGGGTAACTAATTAGGGCAACTCCAGTTAAGAGGTGGTTAAGTTTGCTGACTTTGGTCAATGGCTCATCCATTTTTATAGATTTATCTGATAACTGGTTAACTTTGGTTCCTTCAGATAGACTGATAGCTGCATTTGACTCATTATGAGTAACTACAGTAGCCTCAAATGATGGATGAATGCCAGTGGTTTCAACAGGAAGATGTGGGACTTCAGTAGGCTTAGCTGGTGAATGGGTGACAGAAGCTTCAACTAATAGATGAGCAACTTCAACCGCATCTGTTAATGGATGGGTGACTCCCGTGCTCTCACCCAATGGAAAGGTAATTTCAGTGCTCTCAGCTGATCGGTGCACAAGTTCATTAATATCAACTGGTAGAGTATATACTTCTTTAGTCTTATCTAGTAGCTGGGCTCCTTCAGTGGTCTTACGTGGTGGATGGGTGACTTCAGTGGTTCTAATTGATGGGTAACTGAGATCAGTAGCAGCAAATGATGTGTGGCTATCTTCAGCAATACCAATTGACGAGTGGCCGATATCAGCACTCAAAATTGGTGGATGCTTGTTTTCAAAGACATGGGCTAAAGAACAAGCACCATCAGTGACTTCAGATGACAGGCTAACATTGTTAGCAGGTTGACTAATTTCAGTATCAGTAGTTGATGGGTTCCGAGTATTGTTGGCAGCAGCTGGAATGTGCATAATTCCCATGGTATTATGAACTGAATGGCTATTTTCAACCACAGCAGCAGCCTGTAGGTGACTTACTTTAGTGTCATTATGACATGTCAACACACACTCATCCATAGTACCAACTAGTGATGTAAGATCCTTTGAAGATTTAGCTGCAGGAACTAGTTGGCTACTCACTCTCACCTCGGCGGGTAAACAGCTAGCTTCAATATCCTCGAGTGATGGACGGACAACTTCAGGAGCATTCTTAACAATACTGGGAAGGCCATGATTAATTTCACCTACAGTGTGACAATCATTTTCCTGCAGTGTACTCTGAATAACTAAATTTGTGTAAAAAGAACTACTTGCACATTCAGAATGAGCAAGACCTCCACTTGCTCCATCTGGTGGATAACATTTACTTTTTGGACGACTGTATTCCGAGGCATTTCTGAATGAGCCATGGACACTGGGAGAGGTAGACTCTTCGTGAGGAGTGGCTTTGTCCGAGGTAGTGGAAATCTGAGAACAGGGTAAATTAGTGTTCAATTCTACTTCAGAGGGACTCTTGTAACTATCTTGGTCAAGGGATTCAGATTTGTCTATGGGAACTACTGTGGTAAATATATGAGGAGAGACAACTGAATTCTGTGTGCTATTTGAAATGAATAAGGAACTTTTCACATCTGTGATAGGCACTTTTGAAATCACCTCCTTTGTAGCGGATCCAGCAGAATAGTTAGCTTCACTTACAAGAATTTCATTGGACATGGTACTCTTATTCGAGCTCAATGGTACTGAAGGGCATCTTTCTTTTGTAGTAACTACTGGCAGTTTACTCTTGTCAAGCATTTCTGACAAAACATCTGCATCACCGACATGGCAATCTTTTGAATGACACTCTTTACTGCTATATAATTCTTCTGGGCAATCTTTTCTTTTAATTAAAACCTCTTTTAATGAAGGAGTCTCTTTGGCAAGCTGTAATACAGAAAGATCGCCTCCAGACTCTTTAGAAATAACTCCTGTAAATTGTACAGAAGATATTCCTCCACCAGTGTGAGAGGAGCCGATTACATAATCATCTTCATTAATAAGACCAGCTTTTGCATCATCGTTGATACTTATCTTCTCAGGAGCCAATAGACTCCCATCACACTCGGATGAAAGACTTGTTCTTTGCAATGATGCCTCTAAATTGGGGGTTATATCAGTTTGATTTTCCAAGAAATAATCCTTTTTAACAGTGCAATCTTGTAATGCAGAACCATGAACAATGGTGTTCCTTAATAATGATATGGGCTCTTGTGAAGATTTTTCTATTAAAGAACCAATCCGTAAGGCATACTCTTGTGTTGAATGAATATCCCCAGAAATGCATTTTACAGACAAATCTTGAGGCACCTCAGCAGCATGTGATTTACAAATAATTGGAACCTCTTTTGAAACAGATTTTACAGATGTACAACTTTGTCTTACAGGAGAATTGGAAACCTCACTAAGCTTCAATATCCCTGATTTTGCTAATAAAAGATTATCTACGTTATCAGCCGATTCAATCATACTTATACAGGGCTTTGCTTCTTTGTCACAGATTAAAGGAACATTTTCTCTGTTTCCAAGTAGACATGAATCTTTTTCCAATTCCACAACAGGCACTAATGATAGCTGGTTACTGCCTTTTAAAGAAATGGGGGGAACACAGCAAATTTTTAAGGCAGACTCTAGCGATGAATTATCCTCTCCCAACACTGATTTCCAAGGTGACTGGTTTTCAAGGTGTGTGGTGCACTTTTGACGAGGAAAATCATCACTAATAGGCACAGGTGACTTTCCACTTCCAGTTAAATTATCCAGTGCAGTGTTGGATATTTCTTGGAGGCAGCCAGCTGCATTATCCTTCTCTTTTCGTGATGTATTGCAGTTTTGGGTTTGACTAGAAATGGTTTGAGATCCTGAGATAAAGGTTTGGCATAAATTACCACCAGTACTGGACATGTTACTACAATTATTAGTGCCTAAATCTTTTAAAGGTACCTGCGAGAGTGAGCTAAGATCTACAAATTTATCTGATGAAGCAATTAAATAAGACGAAGACTGGCCAGTGTTAGTAACATCACTTAACAATCCAGAAACAGAGCAAGAAGACTTAACACACTTATTGTGACTATCACACATGGCCATCTTGTCTGCAAGCTTGACAGAAGAATCTGATTTAACACAAGTTAATGCTGATATGTATGTTTGCTGTGGCCGATTTTCAGACCCTTCCTCTTCTGTAACTGGTTCATTTGGTGTAACAATAGAAGGCAATTTACATGTACTTTTTGCTTGTAAAACATTTTCACGAGACACACACTTCCCAGATTCTATCGAATATAACGAAGTTGAAGTATCTGTAACTAAATCTGCTCGTTTCTGAATTTCACCATAACATAACTCAGGCTGAACAATATCACTACTTATATTCTTAATAGATTTGATCTTCTCTGAGATACAAACCTCTAAAGTAGTTCTTTTTTTATCACAATTATCATCAACAGAATTTTCCGAGTCCACATTACTCAGTAGCATGGTAGAGTTTTCTACGGGCATAGAATGTGTACTGGTGTCCTTCAGGTACTCTTTGTCCAATCTCTCACAAATACTACCAATTTTCTTAGTTAGTTTCTCACCTGGTAATGAAGACTGGAAACCATCCACAGAATTAGAATTACTTGCCAGTGGAGAAACGGGAAGGCTTTCATCAGACACATCCGACAATATTGCAGCCACTGCATCGGAAATTCTGACCATGAGTGTTCCCCGTGACGCATCTGAAGGAGTATCCGAGAACATGGGTGTATTGGAGTTGCTCTGAAAACCTGAGACAGAAGAAAGGCCTGAAGATAAAGGAGCACAAAGGAGAGAATTTTCATCATCCGAAATGGGTTCCAAGTACTTGTATTGCACACTTTCACACTCGGTGCTCACGAGAGATGTTGGAACATTAGATTCATCATTTGTTTTGGATAAATCCATTTCTCGAGCACTGTCGCATAGTGTCTGTGTTCCTTTTCCACTGCACAAATCAACATTTTTACTTGTCATTAAAGGAGTGCTACTTGTTCTTTTATCTATTTCAGTGGATCCACCATCACTATTATCAGAACTTTGTCCTTTCCCCAAAAATACATCATTACCATTTTCACTGCATTCAGATTTTACATTTTCAAGGATTTTTGCACTATTACCCTCAACATGTTTAGCCCCCAGTGTTAAGTCAACAGCACTCTCATGACTCGCCACATTAGATGCCACTTGTAATAGACTGTTGGAATGTCTTTCTTCAGAGTCTTTAATGTTTCTGTAGGATACCTCACAAGAAACAGCCTCAGTGTTCGTACCGAAATGCTGGTCACTTTTATATTTAAAGTCCTTTGAGAAGCACTTTTCCTTATTACACTGAATCTTGAGCACATTTTTAATTTGTGGATCTTTACATTTTCCTGCACTAACATCTACTTTATCTACACTACCTTCTGTTCTGATTATATCACGACCAAAATCCTTTACTCTAGTTTGTTCATGATTTTCCACTAAGTGACCAGGCAAAGAGGAAGAGACATCAACATTGGTAGCCTCTAAATCTGAAATATTTTCAGCACACAATTCTGTTGCACTATCACTGTTACACACATTTGTATTTGTATTACTGGTAATTGGAAGTCTTAAGGACACATTATCGGCTGCAGCAATTTGGCTATTATCTTGTTTTTCGTGTGATTGATTCACAGAAACTTCAGGAGTTCTTTCACAAACTGTTGAAGAAGTTTCTCCACTACAGCAAGGGTTTCTTGAATCACTTTTACTATTAATGTCCGTACTGGAAGAATCCTTACTCTGGTGAGCATTAACAATTATGGCAGTGTTGTTGTTATCACATATTTTCTGGACACTTCGTCCACTCTGCACCCCAGAGTCACTTTTAGACAATAAACAAGACATATCTTTATGTAAGCAGTCCTCAGATTTCTCCTGTACCTCGTCACACTTGACAGTGTTAAATGCAGAGAAACTTTGCAACACATTAGGGCCATTTTTCTTAGCTTCGGTGCGGTTATGTAACTTTTTTACCATTTCCTCGAGGGAAATTCTCCTCCTACCCTTTGGGCTTTTCAAACACCTGGGTAAGGTAGGTGGTGCACACTTTGCAGACACTGTTGCTAATCCATATCCACCAAGAGCTGCCTTAGGGTTAACCTCTGGGTTCCCCATAGAACAAAAGCTTGACGAGTCACCCGAGGTCTCATAGCATATTGACGCAGAAGATTTCTCTTCTTGCTTAGATGTAATGATAGTCAACTGTTTAAAACTTTTACCACAGATATTTGGCAGTGAGCAGGTAGGGTTGATGGGTTGGGAAGATGTGTTAGAAGCAACAGTGTCTGTTTTAGCACTACAAGAACTTCTTGAAAATATGTTTAGAGCTGTGCATGATGCCGGTCCTTGGCCTTCCCCATTATCAGTCTGAGGGAGGGACAGCACATGGCATGGCAAATGGAGCCCCTTATTGGAGCTGTAAGAGGATGTGTACACCCCATTGGATAATCCTGCATGTGAGACGAGACCATTGATGCGACTGGTAGTTGGACACCCAGCCTGGCCATGTTCTACTAACATGTCTGGAATGAGATGGGCATTGTCCTCTCTAGAAGTTGGAGAGGCCTTGGAGAACTGCCGACAGCTATCTGGTGGCTTATGGGTAGGAAGAGCACTGACTGCATCTCCAGAAGGCATGCTGCTCCCATTAGAAGGGGAGCACAGCCCACCTGGCTTCATCCTGCTCCTCAATGCATGCCTGGAATAAAAGCACAAATTAGTACTGTATAACAAGAAAAAAAGTTAATACCAAACATACATAAATATAGTACATATACACACTGTATACTTTATATACTAATTGGGAACCCCGCAGTGCCTGGATAGGTCAGCTGGTTGGTCTGTATGCCCCCTTCCCTCCTATTCCCTTCCTTCCTCCTTCCCTCCCTCCCATTCTCTTCTCCCCCTCCCTCCCTCCCATTCTCTTTCTCAGAACATGCAATATAGACACCTAGTAAGCACATGTTACCACGTTATTTTAACCATTGTTATTTTGTTGGAAAGCTAAGAGGGGGGGGGCCATTGGGGGTTGATCCTGACCCCTATGCATGAAAAAATTTACATTGGGAAAAAAGAAAATACATTGGATGATAATTTATACATTTCTGTTCATCTAACACTACACAATCAACCAATTATTTTACATCTAGATCACCAGTTATTGTTAATAAAGTAAATAAAGAGAGATATAAGAACATAAGAATCAAGGAAACTGCAGGAGGTCTATTGGCCAATACGAGGAAGGCTTATTTATATCAACCCAAACTCGTTCATATATAGGTTTAACCTACGCTTTAAACAATCAAGGGTTCCCACATCTATTATGTTACCCGGTAATTGGTTCCAAAAACCAACAAACCTATTATTGAACCAGTATTTACACAGGTCTTTCCTAAATCTAAACGCTATATCCATTGCTTCTTGTGCTATTATGTGTTAATATATTTAATACCTTATTAGTATCCCCTTTGTTATGCCATTCATCCACTTGTACCAGTCCCCCATCCTTGACCCTCCACCCCCTTCCATCCCAGACCCTCCCAGCCCCCCCTGTTCCAGGGGCATCAAAGGAAATTAAGACCTGACAGAAGACAGTCAGCTTCAAATTAATGCACTCAAACATAGATGGGATTACAAACAAAGCATGCAAACTTTGGGGGGAACGAGCACAGGAGGAAAACCCAAATGTAACAGGACTCACAGGGTTCAGTCCTTGGACCTATCCTGTTTTTGATACAGTACTGTATATGTAAACGATCTCTCAGAGGCAATAGACTCTTTCCTCTCAATGTTTTCTGGCGATGCAAAAATTATGAGGAGGATTAAGACCGAGGAAGATAGCAAGAGGCTATAAGTTGACTTTGACAAACTGAAGGAATGGTCCAACAAATGGCTACTAAAAGTTCAACTCACATAAATGTAAGGTAATAAAACTAGGGGCAGGGAACAAGAGGCCAGATGCAAGGTACTAAATGGGAGATGAAGTAGGTACCAGATATCTGGTATCAGGTATCAACCAAGTCCTTCAAGAAACGGATAGTGAAAGATCTAGGAGTTGATATCATACCGAACCTGTCTCCTGAAACCCACCCACATCAAAAGAATATTGGCAACAGCATATGCCAGGCTGGCTAACATCGGAACTGCCTATAGAAACTTGTGTAAGGAAGCATTTAGAACCTTGTATACATGTATATGTTGTACCTAATAACCAGTTGCCTAACAACCAAATTTTCATGAAATATTTAATTTTTCCAAAATCTTTTCTTATGAAATACAGTAATAAGTTTTCATTGTATTATATATGATTGCAATTTTATGTTATTTAACACTTACAAACATTTTATCAAATCTAACCTATATAACCTAACCTAATATATCTTAGTCAGAAATTCATGTTCCTAATGTAATAGATTATCACTGTTAGAAAAGAACCAATCTGGAAAGAAATATCTGAAAAAAAATCATTCTGCCTGTTCGGCACATCAGACCTTACATACTTGGCCAAGAAGTGCAGTTCTGGCTATTAGGCACGACATACATATGCAAGAGCAATCCTAGGGTGTGCAGCTCCAGCATGGAAGCCATACTTTGTCTAGCATAAGACAACACTGGAGAAGGTTCATAGGTATGCCACCAGACAAGTTTCAGAACTAAGAGGTATGAGTTACGAGGAAAGCTTCATGAATTGCACCTCACATTCCTGAAAGACAGAAAAGTTCAGCGAGACATGATAACCACATACAAAATTGTCAGGGAAATTTGCAGGGTAGATAAGGACATTATTTAGCATGGGTAGTACTTGCACCAGGGAATACAGGCGGAAACTGAGTACCCAAATGAGCCACAGAGACATTAGAAAGAACTCTTTCAGTGTAAGAATAGTTAATAAATGGAATGCATTAGGAAGTGATGCAGTGAAGGCTGACTTCATACACAGTTTGAAATGTAGATATGATAAGAGCTCAATAAGCTCAAAAACTCTTCATTAGTTAATTGACAGTTGAGAGGTGGGACCAAAGACCTGAAGCTCAACCCCTATAAGCACAACTAGGTAAATACAACTAGATGAGAACATATATTATTACAATGACCCCACTCACCCAGCTTCCTCTATTCCAGGGGTCTCCAAACTATGGCCCACAGGCCACATCCATCCCACTACAATACACACACAGTAATCACACTAACGTGATGTATCACTGAGAAAATCCATAGGCGCTGTGATGATTCAAACCTCAGTGCTGGGTAATCACATGCACATGCCCCAGACAACTAGGTCACGACATGGTCAAAAGGATTGCAAACTGTTGTTCTATTGAGCCCTTGAGGGTTACCGAGACTTCCACTGAAGCAGAACCAGGGTTTCACGCAACCATGTTTCCTTCTGAGCATGTAGTGGCCTAGTTGTCTGTGGCATGTGCTTGGGAATACCCAGAGCATAGGTTCGAATCTTCATCATAGCACCTACGGATTTTCTCATCCCACTACAAGTTTTATCCAGCCTACAGTAACTTGAAATATATAGATATATATATATATATAAATAATCAAATTAATTATTTCCCTTCCTTTTACTCAAGTCGGGTAGTTGACATGCTAAGTTCCCATCTGCTGTACTCCCTCCCATGACACTAAGCTAGTGTTGTAGGTCTGGAATATCCTAACTTTCAGTCACATACAGCATATGCTTGAAGATCTCACAAACAATAATCATTCAATGTTAACTTCACCTCTGCCTTGCACTTGTGTTATATGTGTAGAATGCTTTAGAGATGACCCAAATCCCTCCTTCTTGCAACATCTCTGAGCAGCAATTATTTCGTTAGAGCATTTGCTAAGGTTTGACATTTTTACTCATTACTGTATATGTATATTATTTCTCAATGTAAGTACTGCATCCATTCTTTGTAATTGTCACATTTCTCTTTTGTTCTGAATCATATCATACCGATACAAAAAAAAATAAAATAAAAATGAGATCCAAATAACTCTTATCCATTCCTATATAAAATAGATTTTTTGACATGAGAAAATGTGTAAAATATACGACGTGCTTTTCATATTGAAAATTTTGGAGACTATGCATATGCAAGAAATAAAAATCTACTACACATATACAAGGAAAAAAAATAGACATACTATTTTTTCTTCGCATTTTCCTAACTTTTTGCATGCAAAAATACCATTCCATATAAAGTTCTTTTCAATTATTATTTTTTGTTTCCATACAGAGTGGCGCAGCATAAGATAACCATACAAAAAATTGTTTTTTTTATTATGTAAACACTAACTTTAATACAAATTATTTACTTGTATTTAAAGTTACCTTGTTTAAAGTTAGGCAATCATAGATATTTATCCTAGCATAAAACTTCAGACTTACTTTTATTTAAGGGATTGTTTACTCAAGCTAGGCAGCTTGTTTTCATTTTATGGAATAGCAAAAGTTAGGCCACTGATGAGTAATGATGTGAACATTCATTAGACGAGAACTTTTAGCCAAGGCTGGAAATATCTTCATACGATCAAAAATGATGAAAATATAACTGATTGTACCTCTGTTAATTGAATACAGGTCACTTTGAACAGTTGGCATAAACCATATTCATCTAACTTAGCCTACACCACAATCTCACCCAATTCTTAACATCTTATTCTCTATAAAATCCGCAAACAAAATCCAATGACAAACTTTATACAAACAATGAGGTAAATGTGTCTTCAACATGTTCAGCTAGCTACACCTTTCTAGATATTGTAGACTTTCAATTTTGGGCTAGGTTAAGATGAGGTCAGGTTTGGACAAATTATATGATGATTAAGCTTTGGAAAAAGCTACAAATCACACAACTGTTCATCAAACAGTAAATAAAACTTAAGTTCTATGATGATAATGTACTTTTATAATAAATGACACGAGCACTTATGTAATGAAGATATTACATAACTGACAATCAACTTGGCTTCATAAAAAAAAGCAAAGAAAAACTCAATACCAGGAACTATTTTGCATACATTCACTTGAAACAGTGAACCCATAAATCGGGTAATTACTCAACCATCTGTAATAAAGTGGCACGAGTGAGCACACCTTGACGAGGCTCGAGGTGTGAGGAGGACGCTCACACACTGCTAGGGTCATGTGAGAGTGCCACCACCACCCTGGCACCCTGCTGGGGGGGTCACATCACCTGGCACCCGACTAATGTCCACCAAAACGATCAATAATACCACTCAGGGTCACAGCCACAGGCTACACACTCCAACACTCTCCTCCAACAACATGCCCGTGTTTATGTTCTCCCTCACGGCAGGAGGGTGGTGGGGGGCTGGTGGTGGTGGTGGGGGGAGTGTGTGTGGGTGATGGTGGCGGGCCATGGGGCTCCTGCAGGCCACGAGGGGCCTCCTAGAGGCCAGGAGGCAGGATAAACCTAGGCAGGCCAGGGGGCTCCTTCACCTCCACCGTCACCAACTTCACCATTTTGGATCGCATTTTTTTGTTAATTAGCAAAAAAATATCAGATTAATGGGGACCTTGGTGTGCGTGGTGCCCCCCGGGGCGGTGGCGCCGTCGGCGGCAAGTGTTGGAGGAAGGTTATCACGATCCGGGAACAATGCGAGAATTAAAATATTTTGGGTGCGAGGAGTATGCAATGCGCGAAATTTTTAACCCAGCCAATGTTTCCTAGTCTCAAGATTTCACTCGAGTATTTCATGCACCTTTAAGTCGGTCTCGAGTCCCCGCAGCTGTCCACTAGGGCCGAGAAGACGGCTAAAACCTTACCTTTGATTTAACCTTCCAGTGCCATAACAATTTGGGTGAAATATAAGGAAGAAGGAGGTTATGTTTACTATCTGACGCCAACAAAGGACAAGCGTATGGGATGTTTAAATCGTACCTTCCATCACTCGGGCCTGGTCCCCGGACGGCCAATCACAACTCGCCAACTGCTTTACATGACGCAGGTGGAGGGTTCTCATTGGTGCGTTTGTTGTAGACTCTGCTAGTGAAAGCAATGGGAAACTAGCCACATTCGAGTAAGAAATAAACACATTAGAAAGCATAGCGTATGACTTATTACTTGATAATACCTCTGTGAAGTGCTAAAAAAATACATTACTGCGGTTATATATATTTTAATTGATTTGACTTCTAATTTCTTAATATAAATAATTGATTACATCAACCATGCATAAGTGTTGGTATGCCTTTTCCAGTCTCTGTAGAACATGATTAATTATGAAATATATATAATTGTTTCCGCCAATTTGCATTACAAACTGAGGAGAATTAAAAGTTCCTCGGATACTATAGGCCTACCGTGCTGTAGACATTGCATCTATAGCGAGGCTTACACTATATGTATATTTGCAAATTTATTCCCCAAGTCTCGCATAATTGTTTCTTGAATTAATTTGAAATATATTCTCCAGAACGTTCACGAAGTTTGGACACCAAAATCTTGGGTATAATCCTACAGCGGGCACACATTATAGGCTGAAAACCTTCCAAAATAGTTGGTCATATTTACATACACTTCGTACACTTTCCCCACAAAAAAAAGAATGTGTTACAGAGTTTATCTAGTTTCTTAAATAAACAGTCTAACATCAAACTACACCAAGAGAGCAGTACGGGCGTCTTAAGGGCAATAATTTGGTTGTACGTGACGTGGGTCCCGTCTCCTCATGACGGCCGCTCCAGGGAATCAATGCCAATATTTTATTAAAACTTCGCCACGTAATTCGCCTTACTTTCACCCTCGGGTCGCCATCGACAATTCATTATATTATAATTACCTTGTAAATGTAATCAATTGCTGTTTTTATTGCGTATTTCTTTGTGTGTAGGGCAAAATGTCTTGTATAAGCTGGTCTATAGAGTTATTGCAATAAATTGAAAGGGTTTAATTAGCTTATATCTATATGTCAGTTAACTAGGCTGAGCATCATTATGTGACTATTGTATCTGACAATGTTGTATTCCTGCGTGTTGTCAATACATCGTGACGTTGCAACCTCTAGATAACTCAAAAACTGTACGTGATTAACATCACGTCTGTGTTCTTTAATTATCATCTTAAATTCCTCTAAAACACTTATGACCAATATTTAGCACACACTCAATGAAAATTACTTTACATAAGTATAATTCGCAATGTAGATTAAGGCATTCAAGATTTTTTATTATATTCACTTAAATGTTATACATCTTACATCTTCAGTATATACATCTTCAGAAGGGTGTATAGGCTCCGACTATACCCTTCTGAAGATGTATTATTAAATACGAAAGTACTTAAGGAAATTTTTGTTTCAATTCTTCCTTCGTGGTCTGACACTCACATTTTTCATCACGTGTTAATTTTCGTGATTTACACACACACACATAATATATATATATATATATATATATATATATATATATATATATATATATATATATATATATATATATATATGTCGTACCTAGTAGCCAGAACGCACTTGTCAGCCTACTATGCAAGGCCCGATTTGCCTAATAAGCCAAGTTTTCCTGAATTAATATATTTTCTAAAAAAAAATTCATATGAAATTATAAAGCAACCCATTTGATTATGTATGAGGTCATTTTTTTGTATTGAAGTTAAAATTAACGTAGATATATAACCGAACCTAACCAACCCTACCTAACCTAACCTAACCTATCTTTATAGGTTAGGTTAGGTTAGGTAGCCGAAAAAGTTAGGTTAGGTTAGGTTAGGTAGGTTAGGTAGTCGAAAAACAATTAATTCATGAAAACTTGGCTTATTAAGCAAATCGGGCCTTGCATAGTAGGTTGAGAAGTGCGTTCTGGCTACTAGGTACGACATATATATATATATATATATATATATATATATATATATATATATATATATATATATATATATATATATATATATATATATATATATATATATATGTCGTACCTAGTAGCCAGAACTCACTTCTCAGCCTACTATGCGAGGCCCGATTTGCCTAATAAGCCAAGTTTTACTGAATTAATATATTTTCTCTAATTTTTTTCTTATGAAATGATAAAGCTACCCATTTCATTATGTATGAGGTCAATTTTTTTTTATTGGAGTTAAAATTAACGTAGATATATGACCGAACCTAACCAACCCTACCTAACCTAACCTAACCTATCTCTATAGGTTAGGTTAGGTTAGGTAGCCGAAAACGTTAGGTTAGGTTAGGTTAGGTAGGTTAGGTTGTCGAAAAAACATTAATTCATGAAAACTAGGCTTATTAGGCAAATCAGGCCTTGCATAGTAGGCTGAGAAGTGAGTTCTGGCTATTAGGTACGACATATATATATATATATATATATATATATATGGATATATATATTTATATTAAGTAATAGGAAATGCGCCCTTTGAACTCAGAATTCGAGATTGTGAGTCGAGAACGAAGCCGACTATACTACCTGGACCCATACCCATCCTGTATGTGGTATATATGACGCGGACAGGTCTAATTTACTACGGGAGACATCTCCCGTCACGCAGGGTGCAGCCACACCTCCACAGATCTCCAGTATCATCTATTGATACTGGTAATGGTTCAAAAGGGCCACCACTTATGGGCTATTCATGCCCGTGCCACCTTTTGGGTGGCTTAATCTTTATCAATCAATCAATCTAATTTACTAGCCTGCATAGTGTGTCCTAGCTCATGCTCACATAGTTTATAATTGCATGGTTGGGGGGATTCACTGCCGACAGCCATCTGATATAGATATTGATATCCAGCTTAATTTTGACAATTACAATGTCGCATTGGTAGATGTTTTGTGCTGTCAGTACATATAGTTCCCGGTTCTAAACGTATTACAACTCTTTATTCTAGCAGTGTTGCCAGATAGGGCTACAAATAGCGAATTGGGCTACTTTTTAGAGCCCTGCGCTCCCAATTTTTTTATTTCGCTACTTGCTACTTTTTGGGCTAATTTAAAAGCAAGATGTGCTAATTTGGGCTATTAAAGTTAAGAATGTACGATTGCGAGTTACATGAAAGTAACTAAGCTATAAATAATTGTAATTAATAATAACTGTAAATATTAATTATTACTAAATAATATTATTTAATAAATTAGTCCTAATTCAATGCAGAGTTTTCTTCCAAGCACAGAAACTTGTAAATATAAATACAAGATAATAGATAGATCGATAAATAAATAGACAACTTTCAAATATTGCACCAAGTAATGGCGAGAGGAAAAAACTAGACAGTATACATTACATTTGAAATTAATAATGGATGAATAGTAATAAATTGGTGTATGTTTGTATGTATACCAGACAAAGTCCATTTAATGGCAGAATTTAGCCATCTTGTGTAAAAACTTTTATATCTCCTATTATTAATTATAACAGTAATCGAAAAAAAGTCATAGTTTGTATATACAAGAGATGAAACAGAGAGCCATGAGCTAGAGCGATGTGCTGAGTCCATAAGGAGGCCGAGCTTTCAGAAATACCTTCCTGTGATTGGCTGTTGCGGGGAATACCAACACTCTTTTATGAATAAAATTTTAACTAAGAAATAGGTCCTTGTGCACAACAACAAGGTTGTTGTGAAAAAGAACAACAATTTCTGTTTTGCACCTGACAAAAATCTCCATTAAACTGAATAATTTACTCGAATAAGAGGGCAGAGCAGAGTATCATTATTTGTGTCAAGACAACCCCCAATAATAACGCCACAAGCTAGGTAGCCAGCCCATTTTTATATAACAATTGTTATATCCTGCAATATTTAATTATCACTATATTAATATTTTTAAATACTTAACATTTCACTTCTTAGGTAGATTAAAGTTGAAGCAGAATGTCATAAGCAAGGATGGTGTGCTGAATAAAGATGATTTATTAAGTGGATGGAGCCTTTAGCTGATCCCTTCCTGTGATTGGCTGTTGTGTGAATGTCAACAAAGAGTTTCTACTAATGATATGCCATTTATTATGCACCCCATAATATCTAGTGGGCGGAGCTTGGAACCTCCTACCCGAGCACAACAACCCGCCTTATGGGTTGCTGTTTGGCTATTTATAGTGCGTTGGAAAAAAACTAGATGGCGTTAGTTGTATTTTGTGGGCTAATTTGTTATAAGTGTAATTTGATGTCAACAGATGGCGTAAGCTGTATCTTATGGCTACTATTGTCCAGCCAGTTGATAGTGTTCTCTTCTGCCAACAGATGGCATCAGCTGTATTATTATTATTTTAATAATATTATTACATTAATAATAATGTATTATTATTACTTTAAACACTGATCTATACGTCTGGTAGCTTATAATAAGGTTTTATACCATGCTGGTATTAGGTAACTAGAATTCAGCAATTACTTTTTTTTATCTACTGTTGAGGATATTTAAGACAAATGTAAGGTTTTGAGGCTAAGTAACGAAGATAGTTACAAGATACGACCCA